TAACCTTTTTTTCTGATTTGTTTCAAACCTTTGGAAAGATGGAAAAATATGATTATAAAGGAAAGTATTTGAAGACTTATCAGAAACTAGGTATTTAATGAGAGAAGAGCACCAGGCAAAAGAGGATGCTGTACTATTAGTGATTCTTTCTTGTCAAGAAGTTTTACTGCTCCATGCTTCAAGAGGTTGCCTTAATTCCAACAAACAATTTAAGTAAGAGAAATTAAAGGCTTTAAAAATATATCGATGAAGTCTGATATAGTCAAATGGATATTAGAGAAAAGGTACCAGTGTATACATAAGAATTGATATTTCCTTACATCTTACTTCAAATGGCATTTTAGCTTAATTTTAAAAATAAGTGTAGATGATTAGGCAACCTAAATATTCATGCTATATATTAATAAATGACTTATTTTTATAGAAAAGGCACATTTTAGTATGGACCTAGCTAGGAAAGAAATTAATTGCTTGTCTTATTCTCCACAAAACAAAACATCACTTTCTACCTACCTAGTGGCAGCAACTCTAACTGAAGGCATAATGCCTAGAAAGAATTTGGGAAAATGCCTTGGAAGGTCAATCCTATTTCAGTTATGACAAATATCACAAATAGTGTAATAAGGGCCACAGTACTTCTGGATATCCTAAGTGAAAACAAGAATTTTTGATAGTTCCTCTTATTGTAAGTAATCTCCAAGAAATTGAAGTGGATGGACATAAAGTGATGTTTTCATGTAGGGCCTTATGAGGAAACTAGACTCTTATTATTGGTGTGTACATTGTCGCCTCTACAATTACTATATAAAGTATATGTGATACTGGAAAACTTGAAGATCTCCTTTTGAGAGAAGGCCCTTGAGGAGGAGTCATCAAAGAGAAACTGACTTGGGCCGGGAAAGGTATGAATGCTTGTTGAGTTAAGAATGTGTCTTCTGCCAATCTCAGCTTTGAGCAGTGTATTCTGGATCAAAACCAGAACTTAATGAAATGTACCAACGGGAGGGTGGTTCTTAAAACAGGGAAAAAAAACCCTAGTTGGTTGTGAATATTGGCAGATGGACTCAAATGTACTAGGAGTGATTTTAACAACCTTATGGGATGTCTAGATACAGTTCTTACTTAGGATAACAGATTTAGAAGTGGAAGAGACCTCAAAGGTTGCTTAGTCCCTGATTTTACAGATGAGGAAGCTGTGAGCACCAGACAGGTTACCAAAGTCACACAGGTGGTCAATAGCAGAACCAGGAGTCAAACCCAGGTGCTTGTATTTTAAGTTTGGTGCTCATTCCATTATGATTATGTTGCCTCTCAAGAAGAAGAAGAAAATGAAGTAAATTAAGTTTAACTTTACTTAAAGCTAGAACAAGCCTGGAGAGAATGCTCCATATAAATTCTGGTCAGAAAAAGTGGGTCAAAGTCAATAATAGGTCTTCCTAAATAGCAGCATACCTAAATCTCATCCATCCTGAAAAAAAACAGTCACTTGGGCCCTACCATCCCCACAAAGTGTCTTCTCTCTTCCCTTTTATAGCCAAACTACTATAAAAAGTTCTCTACACACATGGTTTCCACTTCCTCTCCTATCATTTACTTCTCAGCCCACTGCAATCGGGCTTCCAACCTTATCTAACTAGATCTAAATCTGATTACCTTTTCTCAGCCCTCATCCTTCTTTCAGCAGTATTTGATGCTGTTGATCACCCTTTCTTCCCAGAATACTCTCCCCCCTCTGGGTTTTCATCACAAGTCTCTCTTTTGTTTCTCCTACCTGTCTGAAAGTTTCTCTTTAGTTTCCCTTGCATGTTCTTCACACATAGTACAACTCCTTGCTGTGAATGTGCCCTAAGACTCTGTACTAGGCTCTCTTCTATTCTTTCTCCACATTCTGTCAATTGGTGACTTCATCAGTTCTCATAGATGGCTCCCGAATCTATATATTTTGATGTAATTGCTCTTCTGAGCTCAAGTTGTTCATCTCCAACTGCTATAGGATATTACAAATTGGATGTCCTGTTGGCATCTCAAACTCAGTATGTTCAGACAGAGTTCATTATCTTTTCCCCTCAAACCACCCCCTTTCTAAACTTCTCTATTTCTGTCAAGGTCACCATCATCCTTATAGTTACCTAGGTTTGAAGTTTCCTCAATGTCCCTCCCTTCACATGGCCAAGTAGTTGCCATATGCTATTTCTACCTCCAAGATATTTCTCGCATCTGTCCTCTTCTCTTTACACACTTGGCCACCACTCTCATTCAGGTCCTTATCACCTCTTGCTTAGATTATTGCAGTGGTTTCCTAATTGGCCTTTCTCTGCCTCAAGTCTCTCAACTTCCCAACCATACTCCACTCAGCAGCTAAACTGATTTTTTTTTTTAAAGCACAGGTCTGCTTATGTCACCTTCTTATTTAATAAACTCCAGTGACTACCCATTGACTCATGGATCAAATTTAAGCTCCTCTTTTTAGCTTGTGAAGCCTTCCACAGCCTGTCCCTAATCTACCTTTCCAACCTTCCCCTTCCTGCACTCTATGGTCCAGTCAAACTTTTTTCTTCCTGTTCCTTACATATAACCCTACTTTTGTGCCTTTGTGTTGGCTGTTCTTGCCTGGAATGAGCTTCCATTTTGCACCTCTTAGAATACCTTATTTTCTTCAAAACTTTACTATACTGATACCTTGTATTTAAAGTTGTTCCTGAAACTCCCTCCCTGTCCCGTTGCTAGTGCCCACTTCCCAAATGTAACTTGTCTTTAATTTTACATTTGTTTTATGTGTTTATTTATATACATATTGTCTCCCTCCATAGAATATAAGCTCCTTGAAGGCAGGGGCTGTTTTATTTTTGTCTTTTTCTCTCCAGTGCCTCAAATAATGCCTGGCATATAGCAAGTGCTCAATAAATATTGATTAATTCCAGTAGCCATAGAAACCTCTTGGAGAATGGCAACGAAGGTATTTACAGGATCATCACAGGACCCCTTGAATAATCAAGGGAAGCCTCTTTGGGAGCCAGGTAGGCAGGGGCTAGCCTCAATTAAAGATTTCTCAGATAGAGTTGAGGCAAGGAACAGGAAATGGAATTAGGTGTACCCCTTAGACTGTGACATTTAAGTTCATCTGTGGGTTTAGACTGAAGTTATCTTAGGATAAGATATCAAACTTATCAATTCTATGTTTTTATAAGTTATTTTAATTTCCCTTAGTTTCCAAGCCTTTAAGAAAATCCTGGCCTTTGTCTCTTCTGAATTAAGGGAAGAAGGTGTTTATATTACTTGGTAGTGGTGGTGGGGATGGAGCAGAGTGGCACCAGAAGCCAGGTAAGGTAGTGGCAATGGTTAGGGGCCCTGGAGAAGCCCAAGATAGATCTGGGGTACAAAACAGAAGGAAACCTCCAGATCTATCAGAATCTCAATTGAGCACTGTTCCCTACCTGCCTATGTGTCTTTCTTCACTCAGGAAGCACAGAGGCATCATCTATCCCTATGGCTTTGCTGAACTTATTCAAAAATAGCCAGCTCCAAGCCCCAGGTGCAAAGGGATTTGGTATGACATTTATGGAAGAGTTGCAGCCTGCTATTCTAGGAAACACAAAGAAATGGTAGAAATAGCCACAAACTTACTATATTGGAGGCAAGCCTGGGAAAGGGAGCTTAACACCTCTCCAGCGCCTCGAATCCAGTGATGAGGTGCTAGGCTGGTAGCAAAACCCTACTGTAGCCGTGGTGGTGGGTGGCAGTTGCAGACCCTCGTTTCCTGACAGACTTGTCTTTTGGAGGTCACAATGGGACTCAACCCTTATGGAGCATGCTTCATTAAACTGCTAGCTGAGATAAAGTGGCTTAAGAGGGGAGGCATGCTCCTTGTTCACCCTGTATTGGAATGTGTGACTTCAGGGCTTCCATCCACATTATAGGATGTGGGTGACCCCCTGGATGAATGATCCAGGACTGCCCACTGGCCCCCCGCCCCTTTTTCTTTTTTTTAGCTCTTCCTTTTCCCACCCTTGTGCTTCCCACTAAGTTGTTTGGGAGATATAAATAAGGCTCAAATCATCTTCTATCCCCGACCTTTTGTGGGGTTTGCTCAAGATGAGCTGACATTTAGCCTTGAGCAAACAGGTGTTGAGACTGCCGGGAGAGGTGACTGACTCTGAATAGTTCAGAGGAGGTGGACAGCTTAGCTTTATTGACCTCTCCACAGTCCCTCCGGGCCTTTTCCTTCTCTGTTGTCTTTTTTCCTCCTCTAGGCTTTCTTTTCTCTCCCTCTTTATCTCTGCCTTGTGTCTGTTTTCAAGTACTTTCTACAGGAAGCCTCTCCCAATCCCTTTTAATTCTAGTGCCTCCAGTTTATCTTGTTTGAACATAATTGCTTTCACCTCGTCTCTCCATTAGAGTGCAAACTTCTTGAGATAAGAGATGTCTTTTACCTTCCTTTGTATCCTCAGCACAGTGCCTGGCATATTGACTGACAGTTTCTTTCCGGTTCCCTTCCAGTCCCTCAGTATTGTCCCTGGAACAAAGGTGTGAGGGCCAGGATACTGGGTGTTCCACTGTCTGAAAAAGGACAGGGAGCTTCCTCTTTTGGATCCCAGAGCTCTCCCTGTTTCTCTGAGCTGTCTCAAGTTCTTGTGGGGGGCTGCTACTCTCCTCTCTCCCCAGCTCCACTGCCCCTGACTGCAAGCTGAGATATATGCAGGGCAGAAGGACATAGACTGCTCTGCAGACTTGGCGTCACTTTTGACAGACCAGTTGCTGAGGATCTTGGGAAGAATGGAGAATGAGCAAGGGATAGTCATCTCCCTGAACCAAGTGGAGTGAGAGTCAAACTGTACTGCCATCCCATAGAGTGGAGGAGACTGAGAAATATTCCATGCCCAGATCTTCCTGTCCACTCACTCAGTATCCTGACTCTTTCCCCAAATCAGTTCCCTTTGTAATCATGTAATCATTTTCACAATACTCTTCACCACCTTTCCATTGAAAGAATCCTGACCAGAGAAGCTCTCACACCTCTTATATTAACTCCAGTTGTGCTATGGGGGTACACAAAGCAATGGGGAGCACAGAGAGGTTCTGTGTTACAGAAGGAGGGGTGGATTTTGGCAGGGGCTACTTTCAGTGTAGAAATCTTCCCTCATCTTCCTCCCTCTCAGTACCATCAGCCTCCAAGTGGGTCAGCCCCTGCCTCAGAATCCAGGGATGTTGAGTCCAAAGACGGAATTGCAATAATATGGCCACAAAACACCAAACAGAAGTGGGGGGTCCCTACCAAATTGGTTGAGGGGGTGCATCCCACTCAGGACTACTATTGACTTCCCAGTCTCCAAAGTAGTAGCTATGAACAGCAGGAAAAGATATGGAGTGCCTGGGGTGACAGTGTTAGGAAGAGATTCCTGATTTCCCCAAGACTGCAGAGGAGTACAGGAACAAAGAATGGGGAAATATGGGTACCTGGGGGATAGAGCCCCAAGAGTGGACAACAGTTTCATTAAAGCAAAGTGGTAGCTGCTACCAGTACCTATGGGAAGGGAAGGCAGCAGAGCTGGGGTCATTAGGAAATGGGCTGGGGGCAGGAGGTTGTCCAGCATTGGGCTCTATGCCTCCAGCTATCCTCTTTGTCCATTATTTCCCATGCCATGGTCAGGGAGAGAGATTTGTGCTTGATCAGAGCTTTGAAGTGGGATAGTGGTGGGGGGATGATGCTGTCCTAGGGATCAGCTAGTCCTGGGGTCCCCTCCATGGTACCCACAGTCCCCTTGGACATCAGGGTGCCCTATTCTCCCTCCCCAATCCCTTTCCCATGGGTCTGGGTCCTTCAGACATGAGTCTGCATCCTCCGCTGCAGAGGTCGGCTGGGGTCCGAGTTCTGGGAGGAGGACTGGGAGTGGTGGGAAGAAGAGGCAGAGGCCTTGCTGGCCTTGTCAAACTGCACATAGCCATCCTGCTTGCCACTGCTGCTGATGCTGCTGTCACACTGCGTGTCCAGGAAGGAGCTGCTGTCACTGAGTGATCCTCTCTGGAATTCACGCTCACACAGCTCAATGGATGAACTGCCCATGCCCAGCACAAATCTCTGCCCGTAGTCATAGAGTCGACTCTGGCCACTCAGGGTGCTGTAGATGTTGGTGAAGGACATGCCTGTGGGCACTCGTTGTTTTCCGGCAGGGCGTAGGTCAGGCTGGCAGCTGGAGAGGGAGATGGTGGGGGTAGAGTGGTGCTCCTTGAACGTGTTGACACTGTAGTAACCATTGGTGGGGTCCTAGACAGGGAAGAAGAAAAGCATGATTGTGCCAGGCTGGAGAGAACCCAACCTGACATTTTTTCCTGCTTGGGTCAGCCCAATGTGATTCACCAGAGGATAGGTGTTCACAGAAGAGAGGGGCAGGGTTTCAGGGGGCCTCTGGAGATATGGAAACACTATGGGGAGGGGATTGACCGGAGGGTCTCTGGAGTTGAGGGCACCAAAGGCATAAAGCACAGCTGTTTTGTGAGTAGTCTGGGCTTAACAAATGCTTGTTGAACTGAATTATATGAGTGATGTGCAAATTGAATAATCATCCTGAATACTGAAAAATGAGACTATCCCCCAGAATTGCAGCAAGGAGCCCTGACACTTCAAGCTGTCTTTGGTTGTGTTAGGGTATGGTGGTATCACTTGAGTGGAGGGCTTGTCCCCAGGACGGCTTTCTGTCTTCTTTCTTGCCCAATGATAATTGGGGGTCTCTTGGGCTTTCCTTGGATGTGGATGGCGTTGCACCAGCCGGGTGTTGGAACCTGGAGTCCATCTGTAATATTATTGCCCTCCATCTCTGTAAATTCCCACAACAGCCTTCAGGACATTACTTTTTACCTTTAGGTTCTGAAATTCCTTCTCCTCCTCCTTGAGCACCTCCAGCTGCTTCAGAACTGAGTCCTGCTGGAATTCTCCTCTATCCATCTGCAGTAAAAGGAGAATTTTCAGCGGAAGGGGGATGAGACAACATTCCCATTTTTCCCAGGGGCTAAAATAGAGGCATGTTGAAGATGGTGCTTTTCCCAGCTACTTTCACCGAAGGGCAGAGAAGCTTGGATGAAATCTTAGTTTTTATTATTTTTGCTTCTCAGTCCCAAGTCTGGAGAAGAGATAAAGGGCACTGGGGCTCTTAGGATTCTATTTGCCTTGGTTTGGGCCTTGGGGGTTACCCTCTAATGACTCTGCTTTCCAAATACAGGGAAACCAAATATTGGCTATGAATCAGAGCCCCTGCCCTAATGAGGACATGGCAAGTTTTAATCACAGCATTGCCAGAGATTTATGAATATGAGCTTTATCTGCCAGAAGACAGAGGATAATTAGACATAAGGTTAATGATAAACTCGTGTCCATGATGTTAATGGTAGATGCTCCATATGCTTTTGTTATATTGAACTTATAACCACCATGACGCATACCCTTGTGACACACATCTTTTCCTGTTTCTCACGTTTCTCACTTGTGATGTTTGTCCAAGGTCACAGCCTTTTTTGTGAACAGGGCCTCTTTCCTGCTCCTCATCCCTTGCTCTAACTTGTCTCTTTTAAAAGTCTTAGGGAGGGGACATTTCTATCATGCCTCATCCCCTTCCCACCCTGTCCTTTCCTCTCTTCCAGGATGACTCTGATTCTTATTTGCTCTGGGATCCTTCCTGCTCCCTTACCCACAGAAAATCCTTCAAGGATGTCTTTCCTTGACCACGAAACCATGTGAGGGTGGGTGTGGGTAGGGAAAAACACAATGGGGTTGGTTTGGACTTGGACTTCTCATCACTTCCCCTCTGCCAGAGCACATCCATTGACCTTCCTAGGGAATGTAGTGGTGTCCTGAAGGTTTGGATTAGGGTGGGGAGCTCAAGTGGGAGGCTATCAGGATGGGAAGCTGGCCTTGTCCATATCCCTACGGACACCAAGGAATAGCCCTCATGGAAGGAGCCATCTGTGGGCTTTCCTGCCAGCCCCAGCACTTGTCCAGGGAAACATTAAGTTACCACTGAAGGCTGGGCTTGTCCTCTCCTTGCCCCAGCAAGCAATTGGATATTTCCTTAGAGATCCGTGAAAGAATTACTTTTTTTTTTCTGGGGTTGTTGCAGGGAAAAAGGGGGAGAGTACAGAAGTAACCTTAGGTTGAACCCCTGGACTTGCTGCTATATCTGGCCTTGTGGTGATTTACCCTAATTGGCTAAAAAAAGGGGGTGGGGGTGGGACGTGTTCTCTACTTGTTGAATTGAACTTCTAACTACTATGTCTCTCATGCCCAGGACCTTGAGGGGTCAGTGCATGTGGGGATGAACAGACACAAGAGACAACATTTTTACCATCAGCTGCTTGATGGTGGGGTGCTCCTCAGCATCTCTCCCAGAGGCGGGCTCCTTGTGGACGATCTCCACTCGGATGTCATTCTTTGCCGATACAACACCTTTCAGATCTGAGCAGAGAGTGGGGACGGACAGAGGATAAAACTACCCCCGCCTTGCCCTCACTCCTCCATAGGGAGCCATCCCTGCTTTTCGCCTTTATTCTTAGGATCTGTCCCTACTCCCCGTGACCCCAAATGGGGGGCCCTGGTCTTTCTGAGTAAAGCACCTCTGTCTAGCTGTTCTTCAATCTAAAGTTCAAGAGGATTCATGAGCAAATAGCCCTGACTTGAAAATGTAGACCTGTTGTTTGTGGCTATCTGAGCTCCCAGCATTTGAACCATATGTCAACCAGGTATTCAGCGATCCCTAAGGTATTACTTAAAGAACACAGAGCATATTTTAGGGTCCTCCAGATTTTAGTACTTAAGAGGGGAATTATAATAATGGCAAGCACTTACATAGCACGTTAAGGCTTGTAAAGCACTTTACTATGGGAGATAGGTGCTATTATTCTTCCCATTTTATAGATGAGGCAACTGAGGTTAAGTGACTTGCCCAGAGTCACACAGCTAGTTAAGTAAGTGTTTGAAGCTGGATTTGAACTGAGGTTTTTCTGACTCCAAAGTTTATTATTTTAGTGCCTGGTACATACTAGGCACTTAATAAGTGCTTATTGACTGACTGAATGGAAATTCAGAATTCTCTCTACCTAGCTGTCTCCAGGCTTCTCGTTTCAAGATGCATACTGTTGGGGGACTTGACTTATCAGTTCTTCTCTACCTCCAAGGAAACCTTCTTGGGGCATGCATCAGCTTCAGCTTTCCTGCCTTCTACTCCTCCTGGCTGCCTTATGTCTTCGTCATTTGCCTTCACACAGTGGCTGCAGTCTTCAGGTTTGTGGTCACTCCAGTCATCAAACCTGATTACTTTTCCTCATGCACTGTGTGATGAAAGGACCCTTCCTTTATTGGCAATCCAATGACGTTATTACTGGAAGTTTAAAACAATGGAACACTATAAAATTGTGAGGCTAGGGAAAGGGTGGAGCTGCCAGCTGGGCTAGGACGGGTGTGAAATGCTAATTGGACTCAGCTGGTTTAGTTAAGTCATCAGCTCTGTAAGTGGACTGAGAGGGAGAGGCAAACTCACTGCACATAGGGGACCTGGTGGGAGGAACAGCAATGGGCCAGAGTTTTGAAGTCAGAAATGAAAAGGAGTGAGTTTTAGGAGTTGGCTAGGGGCAGCTTTGTCTGGGACCATCTCCAAGAATCCTAGCAGCTCACCAGATGGTGAGGCCAGGCAGGTTAGAGAATATGGTCAGGGTAGGATTGACAGGGGTTTCAAATATGGAGAGATGGGGTCGGGTTAGCCCTGGAAATTTGTGTCAGCCATCAAGGGTTAGATCCTAGATAACTTAAGATAAAATGCCTATACCCCTTTATGTGTTGTCTTCTCTTTTTAGAATGGTAAGCTTCTTGAGGGCAGATATTATCTTGTCTGCTTATATTTGAATTGACATCTCTCTCTTTTTCCCTCCCTCCTTCCCTTTCTCCAATCTACTTAGTTGATTGTTTGATATTACTTTCTTCCTTTGTTAGTTATTTATTTATGCATTTTTGTAGTATTCATTGTTATTTTATTAACAATGTGGCTTACAATTTTTCAAGTAAAAAGGAGATTTTTTTTCATTCAGAATAAAAATTAAAATATAACTCTGAATATAGATTTTCATTTATTTACATGAAAACATATACACAGAATACAATCTTACAACAAACTAACAACATGCCTTTTGTCCTGCAAATTTCAAAAGTTTATTTATGTATATTTATTTATTTTTTTTTAAGGCAGTTGGGGTTAAGTGACTTGCCCACGGTCACACAGCTAGTAAGTGTCAAGTGTTCGGTCTGAGGCTGGATTTGAACTCAGGTCCTCCTGACTTCAGGGCTGGTGCTCTATTCACTGCGCCACCTAGCTGCCCCTATTTATGTATTTTTAAAGATCTAACATTTTTCTCAGGTGTTTTCCAACCACTGATCTGTGACAAATTTTTTAGCAATTTATAAACCTCTTACTACTAAAGGTCCTTACCTTTAAGAGGCTAGCTGGTGGAGTAGATAGAGTACTGGGCCTAGAGTCAGGAAGACCTGAGTTCAAATCTGACCTCAGAGGCTTACTGGCTATGTGATCCTGGACATGACATTTAACCTCTACTTACCCATTTCCTCAACTGGGGATAAAAACATTGCCTACCTGTGATGCCCAGTGCCTCTGTATAGTAGGTTCTATATAAATTCCCCTTATTTCTCAAATCCTATAAACATCACTAGGCTTAAGCCTTAGGGAGTTTCCACTCAACAGGGCTAAGCTGTCAGAGGTAAAGAATTTAGATTATTTTACTGGTTAAAGTCACAGTTTGGATTGGGAAATACTGCCTTTGAGATTAGGTGGGGCTTGGTGGCCCAGTGACAAGAAGAAGCCATGAACCCAACAGCTCTGTGGTGGCTTGACCTCATTAGAAGGAAAGTAAGAAAAAATTTCAGGTTGAGTGGGTTTTCAGGTGCAGCTTCAAATGTTTGAGACTCTTTCCAATCTTGGTTCCTATATTTTTGATTCCATTTTTGAGCCTTCATATGTGCTTGCAAAATCTTCCTCATATCTGATCATCTCTTGCCTCCTTTCTGCCAATCAATACATGTCCTATCCTTCAAAACTGCTCAACACTCAGTGTGGGGAAAACCTTCTCATGTAATCTCTTCTGGGCTTGTAAAAGCCCATTCACAGAATCCAGGAATATTAGAATGGAAAGAGTCCATTAGAATGTCATCTAGTCTAATCTCCCACCCAATGAAGGAATATCTTCTGTAACATCCCTGGCAGGTGGTAATTCATTCTTAACCTGAACACTTGTAGTGATGAAGTTGCTACTTCACCTGGCAGCCCATCCTATTTTCAGAAAAGGAATTGTTTGAAAATTCCTTCCTTTATTGAGCCCAGTTTGGCTTTTTTAAAAGCTCTATTCATTAGTAGAATGATAACTTCTGTTGTTCTGTTATTGTTAGAATAAAACTTCTGTTCTTTGGAGATGATACAGAGTAATTCTCTTTCCAGTTACTTAAGGGAAGATAGTACTCATGTGTGGTTCTCCTCTTCCACTGTAAACTCCTCCCTCTCCCTCCAGTCTTCTTTCTGGGCAAAAAATGTCCAGTTCCTTCAACCACTTACTCCCAACATTCCTTTTGGCCACGTATATGCATATGTTGCCATGTAATTGCATAGTGTTTGTACTTGTTGGTATACATTCCTTTCATGCTTTCCTTAGGACTGTTTCAAGTGTGTGTGTCCAGTTTCGCCTGTTAGGCTAGAAGCACTCAAGGGCAAAGAGCAAAAAGAGCAAATTTCCTCTCCCCCCTCCCTTTGTCCTCCTCCTCCTCCTCTTCTTTTCCTCCTTCTCCTCCTGCTGTTTGCTTTGCATGTCTACCTAGCAAACAGGGCAAGACTTTATATACAGAAGGAAATTAATTGAAAATGTTGAGATGACTGGCCATATTGTGGTCAGGGTCCCCTGTTAACTGCTTTTCCAATCACAGGACCTACTTAGAGTTGAATGGTTCAATTCTGGTTGTATTCTCACCCTCCCACCCTGAGAAGATCCCAGATCCCCTGCTCCTCCATACTTCTCTGGGAACGGGCACAGCAGAAGGCCACAATGGTCGCCATGAGGACAAGAAAGGCCACACCGGCTCCCACCGCTACCCCAATGATGACAGACATTGGCACGGACTCTGCAGGAAAAAAGAAAGCACCTATTATGGTGGTGGTGTTTGGAGACTCAGCTCAGTCACTTCTTATAACTCTTCTCTACCACTGTTGGTGTGAGTAGAGCCCTTCACAGGTTGGGGGGACACACTTAGATGGACCTCCCTCCTTCCTGGGAAATGGAGAATGGGTAGACTACAGTAGAATCCCACCTAAGTCAGACTGATCTAGGACCACTGGTGGTGGTGGGGGTACTGAGGGAGGGAAGTGGTATGAAGGTGACAGAAGGGACTGAAGAGGGGATTGGGACTGGTGGGAGAGGACTAGCAGGTACAAACATTGTGGGGTAAAGGGCAGACGTGCTGAAGGAAGTGGGAGCAAAGGGACAGGAACTAGTCACTGGTAGGAGAAAAGTTCTGGAAGGCAGAGGTGAGGAATGATTGGGGCAAAGGAGGATGCCTCTGGGTCACGAATAAAGGACAAATAAGATGTTCAAAGAATCCGCCATTCAGAATCCTGGACAGGAGAGAATTATCAGTTCATTTTTGTTTGTCTTGGGAGAGAGTTTAATGGTCTCTGCCCTTGGTGGCTCAGAAGCCTCTGCCAAACTTCCAGGGGGCACAGAATGGATGGACAAATGGATATTTGGGCAGCATAGCCTAGTGGGAGAGCCTTTGGGAGAATTTCATAGCTGTGTCATCGTTAACAAATGCAGTCCTCCCTCTCCAGGAGAGATAAGTAGAGGTGCATGGGTCAGGGTTAGTGTTCTTATCCCCTGATTATGTTGTTCTCTATGGTCCTTGAGCCCACAAGGAGGGGCTAGGAACAACAGAACAGTGGGACAACTGTCAGGAAGCAAAGGGGATGCTCCCCTTCAGTCTAAAGAAGACACTTCTCTTTTACCCAGCCCTGCTTTTCAATCTAAATTGGTCTTCTGAACTGTCTGCTATTCTCTCTCTCTACTGGTCTTTCTCCTTGTGACATTTCTGCTGCTTGCATTCTGACCTGACTCAAGTGAGAAGGCACCCAGTCCCTTCCCTCCCTGGGGTCTTGGACTGGGGGAGCTGTGAGGAACAGAAAGTGGATCACTGATTCGTATTCTTCTTTTGGGAAATCCTGGCCAGTAATCTCTCCAGGGCTGAAAGGTTCGCCCAATCTAGGTGAACCAGCAACGAGTTAGCTCATCAGACACCAAATCACTGAACGTTAGAGTGGGAAGGGACCTTAGGGAACATCTAATCTAATATTCTTCTTTTCTGGATTATGAAACTTAAACTCTAAGAAGGGAAGAGACTTGTTCAGGATCTTACCACCTGTTAGTGGGAGATCAGAGTTTTCTGAATGACGGCTGCTAACTCTTTTCACTCTGCCATGCTGTCCCTTGAGCATCTCATAGGACGGGAGGTGGGACAGCACGTAAAGATCCTGAAGAGTGAAAGTGGCTTGATGTCTATGTTTGACTTGATTCAAAAACTCCAGCATTCAGGATCTCAGCCTTCCCCTAGCTTTTCCAGTCCTCTCTAATCCTCCACCTTGGTAGTGCAAGTCCAATAAGGCAGACAAGGCCATAGGGCAATCATATTTTCTCCAGAGGTCTCTGGAGTCCTTTTTTCCTCCCCCAAGAGTAAAGAGAGGTAGTAGTGGTCTAAGGCCCTGAGACTCTGGCTGAGGGGCTGACATACTGGGAATCTGCCCATGTAGACTATTTGGATCATTTAACCCTGCTGTTCAGGGCCCCTTTTTGGGGTTTCCTAATGGGTGGGTGGAGGGAAATATAGGAGAGATGGGAAAAAATGATCCCCTGCCCTAATCCTTTCTTCTACTTGGAGCTAGGAGGAGCTGGGGATGACTGTTAGCAGACAGATGGAGAATGAAGACAGTAAGAGATACTTTTCTACTCTGCCAATGGAAGCTCTCTGCAGGGGTGTTAGGGACAATGTTATCCTATGGGTCATGACCCGATAGTAGGAGGAAGACAATGGTGTTTAACCTCCTGCCAGACACTGTCTCTGCCTGGCTTCCAGGGGCTTTCCTGTGGGTCAGTGCCCCAGGAGTGTGCATAGGGCACTGAAGAGACAGTAGGTTGGCTCTGAGAGCCAGTCGGCTCTAGGAGAAATCCAATCCAACAAGTGCTTACTGGGCTAGGAAGACACTGGAAAGAGGCCTGGGTTTTTGGTCAGAAGAATTGGACTAGAGAACCAGCCCCCTCCCTAAGGTAATGTTGGGCAAGTCCCTTAAAACTCTCTGAACCCCAATTTCCTTCCCTAAAAAGGGGATAATGCTTGTACTCCCTACCTTTCAGGGTTGTTGTAAAGATCAAATGAGATCCTGCAAATTCGGGCTTTTTAAACTACAAATCCTTGAGTGTTAGTTATTAAATAGAAAAAGATGGAGATGAGGTAGGAGGAAGTTCAAGCTTCACACACATGGTAACTGGAGAACCCAGCACTTCCCCAAGTCCTGATAAGGCTGAGGTGGCTGATAGGATCTCTTTGGGGACAAGGCGGTTGGCAGGATCTATAAGAGGACAGGGCATAGAGGTGCCCAGGACACAGCACAGTTCCTATGAGACCAGTGGGGCTGAGGCTTCTTGTCATCTGTCTGGACTCTGATTTCCTTTTTAGGTTTTGTACCAAGCCTCTACCCCCTATGCCTCCCTCATCTTGTTCCTGCCTAGCACTACAGCAGAACCCATCCAAGCAAGGGAGGTTTGGTGCCAAGTTTGTTTCCAGGTGACTGGAGAGGTGGGCATTGCCCGGTGACCTAAACCTGACTATAAGGTGCCAAATATCAGGCAGTTAAGCCCCAGGTAAGAGGACACAGACACTCAGAACACCCCAGGGGTGGAGATGGCAGGGCCCTGGGCATCCCAGCAAGTGACAGGCAAGTGGTTGCTAACTATAAAAAGTTACAGGCCTTCTGGGAGTCCAGGGACAGACTAGGGCAAGGAGAGTGATACCCAAAGGGTGCCAAAGGGCAGAGATGCTCTTCAGGGAATGGTCAGAGCAAGAGCAGCAGGCCCTGGATGAGAAGGACAGTAGGGCGGGGCAGGCAGTGGTGACAACTCAAGGACTAGGCCTGCTCCCAAGCATTGACAAGATCAGGTCCCCGGGGTCCCTGCTCTGACCTATGTTGGGGTGAAGGAGGCTCACTGCGGAGCCTCCATTCCTGCTCCCTTGGTACAAGTTGCAGAAGTCCTCCCTAAATTGTCAGAGTAGTCAGTCTGGGGCCTGCAGAAGCCTCCATCTCCTCTTGGGTTTCCTCCCCACCTAGCCAACGGGGCCCTTCCCACCCCTTCCCTGGGCAGCTCCTTTCATACCTGCTTCCAGCCCAGCTTCCGACTTCATTTCCGTACCTGTTTGGAAATAAAGCAAGTGTCCACAGCTGGGCCGGGGTGGGGGTGAGGGGCAAGCTAGCTGGGAGGGCCTGGGTGAATGCTGGAAGGGAATGCTCTTCCTAACCATAACTCCTAGACCACCCAACAGGCTCAGCCCTGCAGAGTCAAATTCAGAATTTATTCAGCCAGAGTTAGAGACACCAAGGGGGGAACGAGGTGGGTGGGGGTGAGAAAAGCAGCAAGGGCTGAGGATACCAGGTAGAGGGCTAAGGACGGGAGAGAAGCAAGGACCGAACATTAGGGGGACACGCAGGAAGAGGCTAAAGGGCTTTGGGATGACATGTAGATGATGTCATGCAAATTATGTGCCAATAATCACGTAAACTAGAACTACCATTGGGAGAATGGATGTCAGGAGACAAGCATGATGGCATTGAGTGTCCGAGGAACCTATCTCAGGCTCCTAACAAGTTAGGAATCTTCTAGCAGGGTCTGGGTGGCCAGACCTGGGGAATGTAGTAGAAATGGCCAGGACTCAGGGGCACGGCCAACCCCACCTACTCTGCCTTCTGTACCCAATATCATCCTTTCAAGAAAGTCAGGGTCAGGACCAGGGCCAGTCCGTCCAGCTTGAACCACCTTCAGGGCATTCCTTCTGGGGGTGGGGAGAAAGGAAAATCCTGAACTTTTCTAGTGGGAAAGAGCAGTTGTAGCTTGAAACTTTGGAAAGTAGTCATATGGCCTAGCCTCCAAGGGATTAGCTGGGACTGGTTAGCAGAAACTGAGTCTGAGTTGTCCCTGGCATCTCACTTCCTGCTCCTCTGTTGCCCAGCAGGAGTTCTGGACATGCTGCTTTTTCTGAGTGCCCAGCTATGGCATCTAGAAGAACCCACTCACTCTGGAGTTTGGCTTCATCCCTTAGTCAGGGTTCAACTGCTTGGGCATCTCAGAGATAGCACACGGCTAACCTGGAGCTATTCCCTGTCCCCATGTCACGGGAGAGCTGAGTGCAGCTGCCTCTGGAGCTTTTCTGGTTCTAGAGCTGGGAATCCCTAGACATCTGGGTCATAAATGGTGAATGGGGACTGTTCTTCCTCCCCCTTTCTCCCTTGCCTTACTTCTAGCTTGGCTGCCCTATACCCACCCACTTAGCATAAGCCCTTGGTCCTTTCAGCTGGAATATCTAATTCTATGTTCATGGCAAACTTCAGACAGCTTTTACAGAGAAGGGTTCTTTCCCGCCCATTTACCCTGGGTTGGGCATCCTCTGGGAACTCTCATTGAGCTGGGCTATTCTTTCTGTTTTTTTCTTGAAGACAGATCCAGTGTTCCTATCTTACCAACATTTTCTCTGCCCTCTAGTGGCCACTCCTAGGCCCTAGATTGCTTCTCTTAAGCATAGGGCCACCCACAATGGTCAAATAGGGGTATTTGACTGGGGATCTTTGTAAAAATGGGAGAAGGAACAGAGCAGTTCAAGCTGCTACTATTTGGCTGCTGCTTACCCTGCTTTGAGGAAGTTGACTCAGTCTTGCACAGTTGGCTAATCTTGCCATTTGCTATGGGCCAGAACCTCCGCTTTTGCCATACTATTCTGTGCTCGAAGACCTTTTCTGTCTCTCCACGATACTGGTAGAATTTTGCCTCAGGTGTTCCCGTTTTCCACCAGACTTCCCTACCCAGCCCTGAGTCAGGGACCCTCCACCCAGATTCTCCTCTCCTCCTTATCAGCTTCCTTAGCAGTGCCCACCTTGCTCCTTGAGTCGTATTATCTCTGTGTCAGAGCCAAAGCTATTCCAGGCCGTGCAGTTGTAGATGGTCTGAAAGTCAGCCCGAACGATGTTGCTGATGGTCAGTGTGGAGATGACACCCTCTTCGGTGTTGACAGTCTCAACTGTGTAACGCCCTGAGGTCCCGGACTCAAGGACATTCTCCTTCCAGGACCATGCCTGGGAAGGGGGAAAAAGAGAAAGATTAGTCATTGATACCATTTGAAGCAGGAGGGCAACACCCTCACCTTCCACCTTGAGCCCCAAGTCTCTGAGTTTTTTTATACACGCATACACAGGGTGAAGAGTTTGAGGTAGGGCTACTTCAGAAGGCATTTGCCTGAGGGAACGCGAGGAAGCGCCCATTCTGTGTACTTTTCCACATTGGGTAGGAAGCAACAGCTGCTTGAGCTCCTTAACTTTGGCCTGTCTGCTCTGGGGAACCTGTCTGACTTCAACAGAAACACGTACTTACAGGAAGAGATCTTACAAATGCACAAACATGGGTATACACCATTATATACTTGTACATATAGAAAAAGTCATTCTCATGGAAACACACACACACACACACATTCATTCTAGATAGCTTTATGGAGAAATGCTATCCTTCAGAGTGTGTTCTGAGTGGAAACCTATGCTTGCTTGTGTGTAGAGGTCTTAGTACTCGTGTGTGTCCGTTGTATCACAGATCTCGAAATGCAAGGGGCCTATGCAATCCCTCCTTGTACAGATGAGGAAACCAAAGCCAAGAATGGTAAAGTGACTTGCTCAAGGGCATGCAGGTAAAAAGTGACAGAGTTTGAATTTGAACTCAGGTCCTCTAATTCAGAAGCCATGATTCTTTCCATCACATCATGTTTCCTAGGGGTGAATTTATACAGACCTGCATATAGAAGATTAGATTTATGAGAGTATGGAGGTGAGTGCTTAGGGGTGCTGATGAATGGAGGGGTAAATAAGTATGTAGAGATGTGTGTGTTGTGTGTGTGTGTGTGTGTGTAGAGAATCTGAAAGTGTAGGAGTGTAGTCATTCATTGCTTGGATTCTGGTATGTGTCAGTGTGTGCAGAAGTGTGTGCCTGTGTGAAGTGTGTGCAAGAATAGGCAGGTTGTATGCTTAACAGTATGATTGTGCAGGATCATAGACGGTTATAGCTGGAAAGGACTAGTAATCAGCTGGTATAGGCGACCTTAACCTTTTTTGTGTCATGGACTGCTATGGCAGCCTAAGGACCCTTTCTCAGAATATTATTTTTAAATGCAGAAAATAAAATATATAAGATTACAAATGAAACTTAATTACATTGAAATACAGTTATCAAAATATTAAAAAATGCCCATGGAGGGCAGGTGAAGAAACCCTCATTTGTCCAATCGCTTCATTGTACAGATGGGGGAGAGGAGGCACAGAGGTTAAATGACTTTTCCAAGGCTCTAAAGCTAATAAGGGCTGGATTCCATCTAGAACCTGGAGTCTAGTGATCTTTCCACGATACCAGTGGCTCTCCCCACATGACAGTAGTTGTACTGATTGAAGGAAACTATTCGATGACAAAAGCAGTGCCATTCAGTAATGCTTTGAAGTACTTTGTAGTTACATAAAGACCAAAATCACAGCTCCAGATACACATGTGGATTTGTCAACCCTCTGAAATAACCTTCTGGCCTCTCCCCACCTGCAGGGTTCCTTGGCTGTGCTATCTCTAGCAGTACCAGCAATACAATGTTTACTTTTATAAAAGCACCTTCACATATATTTCCTGCAACCCGTGACAAAAGAACTAGATGAACAAGACTCTAGCAGCCCCCGTTCTTGCAGCTTGGATGTTTAATTTGGTGTGGAGAGCACCTACTCATGTTCAGGCCTGCTAAGCTGGCCTAATGTTGAATTGTTCTCCATGGACCACATTCACTTAGTTCAGAGAGGCCCAGAACCAGGAAGGACATAGAAGTTTTTTAAGTCACAGCAACTCAGAGAGATTATCTGCTGAGGCGTAAAGGGGGTTACAATTTATGTCTGTGTGGATAGAGGTCAAAAAGTTTACAAAAATCATTGGTTCTTGGAGTATTCCATTACAAATGTTCGGGATGGGGGAGGTCTTAACCTTTAAAAAAATTTTGTCATGGACACAGAATGATGTTTTAAATCAGAATGATGTTTTAAATAATTGAAGGAAAATGCCAATTTTCAGTGAGACAGTGAAAATGAAGTGTTTTTTTTTTTTTTTGCCAATCCAAGTATATGTGCCACTTGAAATCTATCCACAAAGTCCAGGGCCTCCAAGTTAAGACTCCCCATGCTACATTTTAGGTGAAAAAGGATTTTATGGCTTAGCAAATTATTGCTAATAGTTCCCACTTGTTTCTTTGGGAAAATGCACACTGAGCTGGAAACAACTGACCAAGCCATTAGTAAGTTAGGAATTAGCTGTCTCATTTTAGCTTAACAACAACCTTCTGAAATAGATAGGGCAGGTTTATTGCTATCTTGTAGATGAGGAAGCTCAAGTCAAGAGACCTTACCTGACGTGTCCAATGTCACACAACTAGTTAAGAGTAAATCTTGGACCAAGTCTTGATCGAATGTAAGCTCCTTATGGGTAGGGACCATTGTATTTTTGCCTTTGAATCTATGCCCAAGGCCTGGCTCATAGTAGTCACTTGATCGATGTGTATGGATTGGATGATTCTCAGTTCTGGTCCAGTCCCTTTCCCTAGTCCTTATTTTGTGTGTATGCATTTCCATCTGACCCTCCCTGCTCTGGTGTGGCACGGGCCAGGGAGAAGCAACGATCATCAGGCGCCAAGTTTACTCACAATTCGATCCGGAGGAGGGGTGCTCCGGATAAAACACTTGATTTGCCCTTTCTCGCCATGCAAGGCATGCTGGGTCTGGGTGCTAGAGATGATGGGGGGCCCTATGAGGAGAGATACCAACACATGTTAGGGAGCTTGCCTCCAGTTTTTTCCCTCTGCATACCACCTTCCCCATTGATCACAAATTCTCAGAATGCATCTGCTAGGGATTTGGAGATGAATACATGGCAGGAGGGATTGAGAAAGAGAAGGAAGAACAGTCAGGGAAGGAAGTCAATCCTGCTCTTATTTGTCTGGATCTTTGTAGGAACACCAATGCCTCTCTAATATGATTTTGAAACAGTCTTAGAGCACTGAGAGGTTAAGTCCAACCTGGGTTGTGTAGCTAGGCTGGCATGTATCAAAGGTGGGACTTGAATCCAGGTCATCCTGGCTCTGAGGACTGTCCTCTATTCACTACGGTCACTATGCATCCCTTACTAGCCATCATTGTCACTGTGTTTCTTCTGATGCGGTCCAGCCCCTTCAACTAATGCCATTCTGAAGATAGCCAGCAGGGGGAGCTCTTGCCTAACACAAATAGCATCCTCTCCCTGGAACTGCTGGTCAAAGAGGGTGGATCTATCCAGGATCCTGCCAAATGTCCCTGATAGCCTGGACTGGTGGACCTCTTGGGGCATTTGGGCTTCCAACTCCACCCAAACAGTCCCATACAGATAATCATAATAGTTCACATTCATCTAGTGCTTTAAATAAAAAAAAAAATTCCCCTAAGCTACAATCTTGTGAGGCAGCATTATTATTTCTATTTTACAGATGAGGACACTGAGGCTTAGGGAAAGGTTAAAGTGACTGCCCAGGCACATACCAAGAAAGTGGTAGAGTCAGAACTTGAACCTGGGTCTTTCTGATTCTAAGTCCGGTGCTCTTTCCTCTTCATACAATGTTGCTACTTAAGTAATGTTAAGAATTTGTCATTATCTAAATAATAGCTAGTATTTATATAGTACTTAAAGGTTTGCAAAGTGCTTTACAAATATTACCTCATTTTACCCTCACAGCAACCATGGGAAGTAGGTGTTATTATTATCCCCCTATTTACAGATGAGGAAATTGAGGCAGATAGAGGTCAGGTGACTTGCCTAGGTCATGGGTAGTGTTTGAGGCCAGATTTGAACACAAGTCTTCCAGTCTCGAAGTCTAGTACTCCATGCACTGTGCTACCTAGCTGCTTCAAGCACAGGCAATGGAGTGTGATTCTACAACTACCTTTAGCCTTATCCCACCCAACTGTAGCCACTGAAATCATTGTAGCATTCTACCTGCCCTGTGGCATCTGTTTTATATGTCTGCCCTGTTTTCTCCTTCTTCTTTCCACAGAAAAGCAGTACAAAGTGTGCTTGAAAAGGCCATGCAGTCAACATTATTTCCTGTCAGGGAGTTCTTCTTTAGAGCTTATCCAAGGCTTTCACGTTGTGGGATAAACTATTATTTCCAGGTCTGATTGCAGTGGGGCAGCTGACTGAGAGCAGCAGCTGTGATGATTCTCTAATACCCTTTGAAAACCTGAAAATGTTTATTGCCCAGATATCTCCTATTATTGGATGTTATTTAGGCATTTTGTACACTGGCTAATGAGTAATTCATTTTGGTTGTATAATGAATTTCTGACTCATGAATTCCTGATATCCAAATGTATCTAATTCAAAGAAGGACTTCCTTAGCTGGGGACTGCCTCCTTGTTGGAGCACCTTTGGGGCTATTGCTTCTTAGCCACTGTGGCCTTGGGGACCCCTACCCTTTCCTAAATATTTGGGACTCACAAGACACTTTCTGTGGATATTGTAACCAGGGCAAGAGTAGAGGAAAGGGAATGTCTGTTTCCATTGTTGGAGTCCTAAGTTGGACCTTGGAATGAGCTTTCCCACAGAAGCAAGGTTCTAAATAGTGATTAGGTGCTACAGTATTTCTGATACCTTATAGATCAGAGGGTTTTGTGAGCTAGCCTGGGAAACTTAACCACCATTTATAACATTGCTGTTATATAGATGGTGTTTTAGGCTGATATGCTACAAGTTCCCCTGAACTGACTTACAAACTTTTGGAACATGATTCTTCGGTAAATTGGGAACTTCCTGTGTAGGTAATAGTGCCACACACAAACGCTAGGGTTCACTGAGCCCTTCCCCTCCTATCCCGCAGTGGATGGAGGTGACTCCCAAGGCTGCTTCCTTATGAAGCAGAGGACTCACAGGCCTACCTAAGGAGAAGCTGGGCTATCCCCCAGTGCCTAGGACAGTGCCTGACACAAAGGTAAGAGTTAAATGTTTATTGAATTTAGTCAAGGTGCTCTTGTCTGGGAAAGCAATCAGTCATTAGGGGAAGGGGATAGGCAGGTCTAAGTAGACCATGTTTTAGAACTAGATGGGATTTGGGGGTGGACAGGAATGACAGAAACTCAGAGTTGGAAGAGACCTCAAAGGCCAGGGAACCCAGCTTGGACCTGCACAACATTCACCCTTTGCTTGAAGATCTCTTGTCAGGAGGATCTCATGACCTCCTGAGGCAGGTCAGTCTACTTTTGGATGGCTCAGACTGCCGGGGAATTTTTCTTTATGGGTTTACTGACCCGGGCCTGTCATTTCACTGGCACTGGGAACTCCCACATGAGGAAACACCCTCCACCAAAGCAGGTCAACATGTTTTATGCAACTTACAGTACTAGAGAGTTGCTTCAAGCACTGAGAGGCTAAATGGTTTAGCCAGGGTCACAGGACAAGAATGTGTCAGAGGTGAGACTTGGATTCAGGCCTTCCTGGCTGTAAGACTCTTTCCACTACAGTGTGCTGCCTCTTAAACTTAAATCTGCTTGTCTTCAACTTCTATCTATTGCTCCTAGTTTTGCCCTTTGGGACCAGGTAAAATAAATCTATTTCTCTTCAATAAACCAATCAACCAATGTTTATTGAGCACCTACTATGTGCCAGGCACTGTGCTAAGTGGTTGCATACAAAAAGAGGCCAAAGGCAGTCCTGCCCTTAAGGAGCTTACAATCTAATGAGGGAGACAACGTGCAAACAAATGTATACAAAGCAAGCTATATACAGGATAAATGGGAAATGATGGACAGAGGGAAAGCAATAGGATTAAAGAGGGGTTGGGGAAAGTTTCCTGTAGAAGGTGAATTGGGACTTAGAGGAAGCCAGGGAGATCAACAGTCAGAGTTGAAGATGGAGAGTATTCTAGGCATGGGGGACAGCCAGAGAGAATGCCTGGGGCCAAGAGATAGGAGTTTCTTGTTCATGGAATAGGCAGGATGCCAGTGTCATTGGATCAAAGTAAGTAAGGTATAAGAAGACTGGAAATGGAGGAGGGGGATATGATATGAAGGGCTTTGAATGCCAAATAGAGCATTTTGTATTTGCTCCACTTCCACTTGACAGCCTTTATTAGGATCTTAGAGATCACCTAGTCAAATCCCCTTGTTTCTCAGATGAGGAAACTGAGGCCCAGAGAGACTAGGTGGTCTTCTGACTCTCAAATCAATGTTCTTTCTGCCACACCATGCTGCCTTTGTCTGGGAGGAGGTGGGGATGGGGTATGTCTTGGATCTCAGGAGAGCAGTCCATTTGTTGAGAGGGATTAGAACAGAGATGGGAGAGGGAGAAGTGGGATAGGAATTAAGTTATTAGAAAGTGCTAGTCAGTCTTGGGGTACAAGGAACCCCCAGGGAATAGAAGAGTCCTCTGCTATATTGGGTTCCTGATTCTCTCCTGTCAATTCCACCTAGGAACAGAAAACGAGAATCATTTAGGCCTTTACAGTATGGACATGGTCTATGTAGTACTCCTTGGGAATTCTGTGCCAGGGTAGTAGCTGGGATAGAGTCTTCTCTGAATGCTTCTTTATCACTCCTGGGGTGGGGGATGGGAACTAATTTCTCACAAAATAGCTCAAAGAAGGCTGGGATGAGGGGTGCAGAGAATAGTAAATTACACTGGGAACAAAACAAAAATTGCTGCAAACATAATTGTTGTTTATTAGCCCCTTTAATTACAACAGATTTGCATTTCTATGAGGAACTCCGAAGCTAAGGGGAAAAAATACTAGGGAGTTTATGATGGAGACTGACTCCAGGTTGTGAGTGAGGTGGAGAGGAAGGAGAAAAGTGAAGTTCTCTTTAGGAATGGGACTTCCATTCTGATGTAGGGCTGAGGAGGGATCTCTGAACTTCAGGAGCCTCCCAGGCAGCAAGCCAGGAAAACTGGACAGCTCCTGTCCATGGTACTGATAGCCGCTGGATTACTGACTTTCTTTTAAGTCCCAACTGAAAACTTATCTGTTATAGGAAGCCTTCCCCAATCTGTCTTAATTCCAGTGCCTTCCCTCTGTTAATTATTTATTCTTTGCTTTGTGTATATTTATTTGCATGTTGTCTCCCTCATCAGACTGTAAGCTCCTTGAGGGCAGGGACTTTTGCCTCCTTTTGTATTCTCAGCACTTGGCACAGTTCCTGGCACATAGTACACACATAGTTGATTGACAAATGGTACTCTGACTCATAAACTCTCCACCCCAACTTCTTTCTACTAAGGCCAGGGCTTCTCTGTAGCTATAAGAACTAGCAGACAAGTGAATGTATGCTGCCCACTGGACAGAAGGACTGAAGGGAAATCAGGCAAGGAGTCAGAATTAGAAAGGAGGATATGTCTACCTCCCATGGAGACTAGTTTTCATGGTTGGCAGAGAGGTCAAGCCTAAATCACTACTGACTCAGATTTTTGAAATGAATCAGGTGAGATGGAAGCTGAGACTTAACCATTTCATTTTACACAGTAGCATCAGCAACCATCCTCTCCCACCTTTACCCCCAAAACAGAATTCAGTTTTGGTGAAGCAGTCAGCCTTTTCCTGACATTTAAACTCAAGAGCTCCCTATGCCCCTCTCCAATAGGTCAAGCTCTATTTAATGCTCATCCATTCTCCAGATAGCAGCTGGGAAATGTAACTCCTTAGACAAGGCCACTAGCTGGCAAGGGTGCTGTCATTCATCTCCTACCACTGGGTAAGTCAATCCCCACCACACATGAATGAATGGCTTTAATACCCCTATCATGATGTATGCAGCACCTTGGCTGGCCTTTTTACTTACTAGAAAAAAGGCCCTTTCCTTCTGCCAAGTTGGTTGTGGAAAAGGAGGGAGTTGAAACAGTAGTTATGCCAGTGGGCTCCTGGTATCTTTATGGGTATGTGGAAGAGAGGGATTCTCCAAAGTATGGCCATTAGGCAGAGTATCTAGGAGAGTGAGTGAATGAATCTCCTTTACCCAATAGGGCTGCCATGTTGGGGAGGTTTCTTAGGAGCAAACTCTGTTGCTTAAATCCCTAAAGGTACACTGTTAATATAGGTCCTCATCATGGCCTCACTCCTTTTCTAAAATTCTTTTTTAAAAAAATCACTGGACTTATGATTTTATTGGTGTAGAAAACTCTCCAGGAGGAAAACTTTGGTAACAATGAGATCAACACTCAAGAGTTATAGAAAAATTGTCTAGGGGTACCAAGAGATTAAATGAACTTGGCTCCAGTCACATAGCCAGCATGTGTCAGAGACTGGATTTGCATCTAGTCTTCTTTGAAGCTGGCTTGCTATACAGTCCACCATATTGCCTTTCTCCAAGTCCTGTCCATATGAAGTGCTCTGATGTATTTCCTCAGAAGAGGTTTTTTTTTTCTTTTCCTCTGTCCAATAATCTAGGTTAATGGACTTGATGATGGGGTATCTGGGGATAACTTCTGTGACTTGGGAGTTCCAGCCTGGGGGACAGTAAGCCTAGGACTGAGTGCTACTTCTGGACCAAATCACAACTAAAATTTGGGGAATTTATTGGACTGGGAGTTCAGTGAGTCTACAGTGATATATGGTTGCTCCTCCCCCCAAATCTAATTTGATTTTAGGCAGCATTAACAGAAGTAGAGTGTTTAGGACAAGAGACAAGAGAGTTCTGTTATGTTCTGGTCTGGTCAGAACACAGACTAGGAATGCCACATTTCAGAAAGCTGAAGGCCAGGATGGTGAGGAGACTAGAAACTGTCCAATGAGAGCTATTCGATGGAATTGTAACGAGAGGCATAGAAACTGTTTTCAAGGACTTGGAGGGTTATCACATGAAAGAGGGATTACATTTATTTTTCTAGGCTCCAGAGGGGAAAATTTAGGTCTGTCTGTCTATTCTGTCTGTCTGTCTGTCTATCTATCTATCTATCTATCTATCTATCTATCTATCTATCTATCTATCTCTACTTATCCTTTCTATTGTATCTATCTACTTCCCTCCTCTTCCTCTTCTTTATCTCTCTCTCTCTCTTACTCTGGCTCTTCCAATGTATGAAAATTGTAGGGAGACAGATGTCAGATGATATGGAAGAACATCTTAAAACTCAGCCTGGTACAGGATGAGAAGTGAGTTCTGCATTGCTGGTGTTATTCAAGCAAAAGCTAGATGACCACTTGTCAAGGATGTCATGAAGGGAATTCACTCTTCAGGATAGGAGTTGGATTCCATGAACTCCAAGGACCCTTCCATAGCAGACAGGCTATGATTCTATAGTCAGCAGTGCCTGAGCAGGACTAGCTGTACAGAGCTCAGGATCGCTTTCTTCTCCCTAGAGGTGGCAGCAGGGTGATGGCTGAGCAAAGTGTCAGACAGCTTACAGGCAGGAAAAGACTCTAGCCTCTGTTGCCATGGATATAAACGGAGGCGCGATCAGATGCTGTTATTTTTAGCCCCGCAGTGCCAGTTTATTGGTGGCATCCTGGGGACACTAGAAAAAGCAAGAGGGCTGCAAGCTTTGGACCCTGACTGGGACAGGATCTCGGCCTAGATAGACTTACCCCTTAGGATTCCAAGGGTTTGGGGCAGAATAATCGCAGGGTAATCAGTGTGGGGCATTCAGTGACTGTGAATCACTGGGTGACGCAGCAGGCTGGTTGCACAGACTCACAGTACTTCAGGAAGAGCCTCTAGCCAAGGTAGCTGAGGAGAAGGCAGCTGCCAGTGGAGAGTGTCCAGTGACTGCCACAGAGCCTTGTGTCGGGACAGCAGGGGCATGGGAAGACGGCCCATCTCTGTGCTATTTCTGGGGGTCAGCTCAATGCCTCTGCCCCAAGGAGCCAGGCAGAGACAGGATGGAGTGGAAAACACCAGGCATGGATTGGGAGCAATGTGAGGGAGCGATTAGAAGAAGCAAAGGGGCAATAACAACAGCAATAACAATTAGAATTTATAATGCTGAAGAGCTTTTCAAAGAGCTTTCCTCACGACCCTCAGAGGCAGGTGCTATAAAGCATCATTGTGTCTATTTTATAGATGAGGAAACTGAGGTTGGGAGAGATCAAATGAGACAATCCATATAAAGTGCTTTGCAAACCTATGCTATATGGGTGCTAGGCACCAGCTATTATTACTATGAAGTTATTTGCTCAAGATCAGGTCTCCTGACTCCAGGGACTTTCCATTACCTTACTTTTGTGATGTGTTACACAGTGTCTAAGACTATGTAGGTGCTTCCTAATTACCCTATTAGTTTCCAACCACCCTTTCAGGTCATACCCTGGAGATTTTAGCCGTTTTATCTCTGGAACTTCTGCACAGTCCTCCTTCCCCCTCCTGATTTGAGTCTTTCCTCATTCCAGTCCATCCTCCATCCAGGTGCTCAAATGGTCTTCCTAAAGCAGGTCTGATCATTCTCTCCCTTCCCTCTCCTCAATAAATTTTAATGGCTCCCTATAACCTTCAGGATCAAATATAAAATCCTATGTTTGCCTTTTAAAGAAGGCTCTTCACAATTTGTTCCCTTCTTATCTTTCCAGTTTTCTTAACATTTTAGATATAGATTATAAACTCCTTGAGGGAAGGGACTTTTTTGTTTCTTTTTGTATCCCCAGTGCTTACTGGCACATAGTAGGCACTTAATAAATGTGTATTGATGGATTGGTTTTCCTCCCCTCTTCATATTCTATGGTCCAGTGGTATTGGTTTGTATGCTGCTCCTTACACTTGATTCTCTATCTCCTGACCCCAAGACTTTTCCCTGGCTGTCCCTCATGCCTGGGATTCTATCTTCCCATTTACCTCCTGCCTCAACTCAAATCTTACTTTCTTTAAGGAGCCTTTTGAGAGAGACAGCTCTTAGGACAGTGCTTGGCATACAGCAAGCACTTAATAACTGTTTTTGTATTCATCCATTCATTCATTCATTGTACTAATGTCACTTAGAGAGAAAAGTGGGACTTGTATTGAGAAGGTGGGACCTTCATGAACCCTCTGTAAACCCCAATATGGACTATAGATTATATTCCCTCCCTTGCTACCAGCCCTCCAGGAAAATGGGATTAGGATGTTACCGTTGACAGTTAATGACACCTCTCTCTCCCCAGCCCCAACTCGAGGAACAACAGCTCGGCACACGTATTTGCCAGCGTCCTCTTGCCGGACAGTTTTTAGAGTCAAAGTGTTTTCATTGCTCAAGACCTGGGAAAGGATAGAGAAGGTCAGGTAGCAGGAATAGGGAAAAAGCTGATCTGTCCCCTAACTCTAGGGATGGTAGAGACTGACACAGCTCTGGGGGAAGCAGAGAAAAGGGCAATGGTTTCATTTTACTTTGGAAAACCTAGCCTTGGCTTTCTCAAAACAAAATAAAAACATGGGATCTGTATAGGAGAAAGAGATTCTGTCAGTGGTAGGTTTCTTGGGATGCAGAGCTGGAAGGGTGATAAGAAATAATCTCATCTAACTCCCTTATTTTACGGATGAGGAAACTGAAGCCCAGAGAAATTAAACGAGTTGCCCAAAGACACAAAGTAAATAGCAGAGCTGAGATTTGAACCCTTATCCACTAACTCCAAATCAGGAGCTCCATATCTAATTATAACTCTGTGTGTGTGATGGCAGTGGGGGTGGGATGTAGTCCTCCAGCAAAGGTTTAGTTACAAACTGAGGGGTTGTGGAGAGCTCAGTTGAACCCAGGGTCCTTTCCATGGCTGTGTCCTGACTTCTACTTGCAATTGTCCCTCCTCACCTAGGAAGAAGCTGCTGACCTATTTGGAATTTGTCTTCTCTGCTGTGCCCCTCCCTTCTGGCCCTCCCTTCTGTTCTCTTCTTTTAACCTCTAGATCTTTGCTGAGTCCCACCCCTCCCAGTGGGGTGGGGCTTTCATTCGGTTCCTTCTTTTAGAGCAAAGGACTGGTCAATTTATTCACATATGATTTGTTACCCTTCCCAGGGGCATTTACATTTTAAAAGAATTCAGAAGGGAGAGGGTATTGCTCAACCCAAAGTAATTGTTGTGAATGGTGGGAATCTCAGGCACTTTGGTGCCTTGGTGGGGAAGATTTTTTTTTCTTTTTTTTTTTTTGGCCAGGCAATTGGGGTTAAGTGACTTGCCCAGGGTCACACAGCTAGTAAGTGGCAAGTATCTGGTCTGAGACCGTTTTTGAACTCAGGTCCTCCTGACTCCAGGGCTGGTGCTCTATCCACTGCACCACCTAGCTGCCCCTCAGGGAAGATCTTTTGAGAGATGATTCCTAAAATCATTACAAATTCACCTATGATGCACAAGTGGATAAATCAGTTACTTGGGAGTCCTTCTACCATTTCCTGGACCCTTCTTTCTTTGAATGACAGTGCTTTCCCCCCAAGTAAATTTATGGAGAACTCGGTGTAATCCAATCATTTGCCCTGTAGTTTGAAAACAGGAGGGACAGCAGCTCTCAGGGTGGATCCAGCAGGAAGGGATCCCTGAGGGCAATAGTGCCCAGTCTTCCTAGGGCTAGACACCTACCACCCCAGAGCCACGTTTCATCCACACGATGGTTAGTGATGGGTTCCCTGTCCAGGCACAGTTGAAGACAGCATCGGAGCCCAGGTCCACCAGCAGCGACTGAGGCTCAGAAGTCATTCGAGGGCCAACTGCATGCAGGGCAAGAGAAGAAGAGATAGGTCTATTAGACTTTAAAGTTGGAGCTTTAGCTGTGGAATCGGGGGAGGTGTTTGGAGAGGAGCTGGAGTGGCTCTTCCACAACCCTGACATCACACCCCTTATGGTGGCTGCTGCCTGCTTTGTCTGTTGGAATGATGGTCCTGGGGTAACAAAAGAGCCAAGTCAAACCTGTTTCACTGCCTTCCCTTCGCTATCTTCCCAGCCATTTCTGCCATTGCCTCATGAAAGGAGATGAGGATTCTGGACCCAATCTATGCTCAGGGTAAGGGCAGAGCTGATGGAGGGCTGACCCAAGGCAAAATGGTGGAGTAGATAGGTACATTTTCACTGGGGTCTCCTGGAGACGATGCTTTAGTTTGAAGAGTCACTTTATGAAGCCTTACCTGATTTCTCTAGCTAGAACTCGTCACATGCTGCCTCATGTGACAATTATCTTATTTGTCTTAGACTCACCACCCCCTCCTCCATCTTCTTAGATTCTAAGTTCTCTGAAGCCAGGGGCTACATCTTATTTTATTTGTGTATTCCCGACACAGAGCATAATGGCTTTCCTGTAGCAGGTCCTTAATAGATGTTTGATGAATTGCATTGAAATGGCTGCAGTTTGAGGTGTTCGTCTGGTGGGGGTGATTTTTTCAAATTCAGAAGGCTTTGTGTACTTTAAAAAAAAAAATCACATCACTAAAGTGGCCAGTTCTGTCTATAGTGTAAGATTCTGGATCTATCCAGATAAAGGATACCATTCCTAAACAACTTTTAGTAATCTAGGTGTGATTTGCTCCTCAAATTACCACCGATATCACCAATTAAGGGAACATCCTCAAATAATTTGTTTTCTTCCAGGAACACTCACAGTAGACATCCACTGTGCGACTGATGTTGGTGCTGCCCAGTGCATTGGTAACTTCACAGGAGACTGGCTCGAAGAAGAATGTGTGGTCCACAGTGGTCTCATAGGAATCCTCAGATCCTTCCTTGATCACTTGGCCCTTCTTGGCCCACCTGAAACACAAGTGTCGCCCCCAATATGGTGGAGACCTCTAGTCAGCAAGGCTTGTGAGGGAGGAAGGGTAGGGGGAAGAGGTCAAGGGGAGGAAAAGGAAGAGGATGGAGTTCTTTTTCTAAGGATCTCAAAGCACTGTTTCCCCAAGAAATATAGAGGGAGCAGGGATTCCTTTTCCCACAGGGAAAATGAAACATGGAAAGGAACTGGCTTTCAGCCATTCCTTGAGATCAAATCTCTTGAGTAGGAGAAAGTAATCCTTGGGCCTGGGAGGAGAATTGAGCTGTTTCCTATTCAGTCAGCTTGAGCGGAAAAAGGACTTGAACCCAGGTCTTCCTGACTTCAAGGCCTCCTCCATGTCCATTAAGGCAAGCTGCCTCCTATATCAAGTTTATTTTATATTTGAGTTGGTGTTGAAGTCAGGGCAGTGTGATCCTGGCTGGGCAAGTGCAATCTCTCAGTGCTTGAGGAAACTTTCTAAGACTCTAAGTTACGGAGAAGGTATCAGAAATTTCCTGTAAGAAGAAACCACCCATTCATCCCTATGCTTATTTCATTGGAAGTGTTTTCTCCTTAGTAGAAGGCAGTCTCCTGGAGGGGAGAGATTGTATGGTTTTTGGTCTTTGTATTCCCAAGGTAATATAAGGCCTGATACTAGATAGGTATTTAACTAATGCCTTTAAAGTGGAATTAAATTCTTTGCTGGAAGTCAGCACCATCCCCACCTGCTTACCTTGATAATGAATCAAGAAGAACTGAGTCCAAATTTGATCTCAGACCCTTACTACCTGTGTGACGCTGGGCTTAAACTCTTACCTAACCACTTAACCTCTGTTTGCCTCAGTTTCTTCAACTGTAAAATTAGGATAATAATAGCACCTACTTTGCAGGGTTGTTGTGAAGATCAAATGAGATCATATTTGTGAAAGTGCTTAGTACAGTGCCTGACACATTCCCTGCCTTCTCTTTTTTTTTTTTTTTTTTTTGGCTAGGCAATGGGGTTAAGTGACTTGCCCTGGGCCCACACAGCTAGTAAGTATTATGTGCCTGAGGTCAGATTTGAACTCAGGTCCTCCTGAATCGAGGGCTGGTGCTCTGTCTACTGCACCACCTAGCTGCCCCCCTTCCCTTCCTTTCAATCAGCTCCCTCTGCTCCTAGGCAGTGTGGGCTCGTGGTTCCTGGAAGGCTGCCTGGCCTCCTAAAACGTCCTTTGCTTTCCTCAGCCTGCCTGAAACTGACTAAATCCTCCTTCTCTGTATGGGGACTGATTTAGAGGCAGACGGAAGGGGCTACTGGAAGGGACTAGTAGGGCCCTAAGTAGCCCTGGAATCTCTGAGAATGGGGAAGAGGGCGCTTACACCAACCCAAGAGCTCTTACAAAACTACCCTCTCCTCAATAGATACACTCTTTCAATGGTTTAACTTCTCCGCTGTTGAATAATCTGTACCTTTTAGTCAGGTAAATTTCATTTTGATCTAACTCCCTTGGGCTGCACTTACACCCTTTTTTTTTACCTTGGGTAAAGATGGAGATCACTTGTTCCCCTCCACCCAACTAAAGATTAGTTTGCCTTGCCCTTCTCTCTCTGAAAGGTGATTTAAGTAGAGGTGAAAAGGTGAAACAGGATGGTCTTGGCATAGTGGATAGGATATTAGAATTGGAATTGGGAAGACTGAGTTCAAATCCTACTCAGGATATGTGACCTTGGGCAAGTTACTTAACCTCTCTGTGTGCACCTCACTTTCCTAATGAGAATAGTGAGAGTCACAGGGTTGTTGTAGGCAGTTGTGAAAGGAGATAATGTATATAAAAGCCCTTTGCAAATCTTAAAACACCACATAAATGTCAGATATAATCTTTATTATTTTCCCCTCTTCTTGGGCTCTCAGGGAGGCTTTTCCTCCAGTTTCCCATTTTCTTCTTGGTTTTCTTTTTGTCCACCCCCTTGTTCTCCCTGCCCCTAGAGAAACCCACCCCCTTCTCTGCAAAACAAAGGAACACCTACACGGGCACAGAGATGTTATAGTCACAAATTAATATTATGGAACTATTAAGAGCACAATTAATAATAACAATTATGATTTAACTGCAGAGCATTCTATCTCTCCCCAAGAGCTTATGGAGGTTCCTAACATGCTATTATTCATGAATCATTTCAATTCGTATTTTAATTTAATGATCAGACTTCATAGCCAGACAGTGCTTGCCCAATGCTAGGAGAACTCTGGCTTATCATTTGTGAGAGATGTGTCCCACATTTCTTGGAGATGGAAAGAAAGAGAGGGGGAAACTGAGACTGAGAGAAGGGAGAATTGAGAGGCTGGCTTCCAGGCTAGAGGGTGAGGCAGTTTGGGACTGAGGAAGGGTTATGTAAGCCCTGGTCCATGTCTCTATTCCAGACTGTTGGGGTCCCTCGTTTTTCTTAGGTCAGGGCAGGACTTAGGGACAAGTTGCTTGGGCATGATGGATGGCAGTATGGTGCAGGGGAAAGAACACTGGATTTGGAGTCAGAGGATTTGGGTGGAGTCCTAGCTTTTTCACTTATTTCCTATGTGACCTTGAGCAAGTCACTTAACCTTTGGGCCTCAGTTTCCTCATCTGAAAAATGAAGGAATTGAATGGAGATGACCTCTAAGGTCCCTTCTAAATTCCAATCTAATCTAAGTCCAGTTTCTAGGTGAGCAATGGTGTCCCCATTACCCAGTCTAGCTCTCTTCTCTGTCCTAGCCCAATGTAAATTTAAATTCTTTCTCTCTCTCTCTCTTTCTCTCTCTCTTTCTCTCCCCTCTCCCTTCTCTCTCTCTCTCCACTCTATTCTCTCTCTTCCTTTTTCTCACAACCTCCCCACCCCCTCTCTTCCTCCCTATCCCTCTCTCTCCTTCCTCTTTCTCTCCCTCTCCTTCTTTCTCACAACCCCCACCTCTCTCTCCTTTCCTATTCCTCTCTCTCTCTCTTCTTTTTCTCTCCCTTCTTTCTCTTTCCCTCCTCTCTCTTCTCCCCCCTCACAATCTCTCTCTCTCTTTTCCTCTCTCTCCCTTCTCTCTCTCCTTCCTCTTTCTTTCCCTTCTCTTTCTCTCTTTCTATCTCTTGCAACCTCTCCCCCTCCCCTCTTGCTTGCTAGTTTAGCCCTACTATCCTCCCTAAAGGGACATGCAGTGAGGGGTGGGAGGAGGAGGGAATAATCAGGGGAGGAGGGCACTGGGTGGGGAGTGGAGGTCCAGACTCTGGGGTGACTGGGGAGCAGAGATGATCAGGAGTTGTATTTGGTGGTGACACAAGTCTAGCCCCTTCCCCAAACCTGGCTCTTCTTGGGCTGCCAGCTCCCCTTACTCCCTACCTCAGACAGCTTTGATTTGTCTTTCATTTTTCCTTTCCCTTTTCCTGTCCTCAATCTATGAGCCTTGAGTTCAGTCAGTGTAGCGCTTCCCCCACACCTGGCAGGAGGCCCGACAGGGGCCTAGCGATTTTCTGTGTTTGCCTGTCATCCAGGGACAGACTCACAATTAGTTTTTCCTGGGGTGAAGGGAGAGTGTGGCAGGAGGCTGTTGGGGAGGGCAGTGGCACTATATGTGTGTGTGTGTGTGTGTGTGTGTCTGTGTATATCTCTGTATGTATTTTATGACTGGGACCTCTGCTGCCCTCATCAGCACTCACAAGGAGCATATAGGCTTTGAGTTTCTGTTGAATGAATAATAATTCACTATTCATGCTTTATAGGAATAGATGGGTTTCCATCTTTACCTCCCTTCTCCTGAGGAAGGGAACCAGGCTGGCTTCTTCTTTCCTGAGTGGGGAAACTGAATTAATGAATGACCAAAAGACCTGGCTGAAGGTGAGGAAGGAAGATGCTCTTGGGTCTCCAGCCTGAGTTTTGGGTTTTAATAGTCAAATGTATAATTATAGATGTTGCTAGCTTCCCCAGCCAATACTAGAACAGGTTGCTGATGCCCATCTTTAAATGCCACCTTGAGGTGGGCAGCAGCTAGTAATAATAGCCAATATTTATACAGATTTAAAAATAAATGCACATTATCTTACTTTGTCCTCCTAACAACCTTGCCACGTAGTTGCTATTATCCTCATTTTAAAGATGAGAAAACGGAGTCTAAAAGGGTTTAACTTAAGTGATTTACCCATGGTCCCACAGCTAGTGAGTGAGTCAGAATTTGTACCCAATGCTTCACAACTGTATATTTTACCTATCTGCCCTCTAATTAGTGTTTCATGTGGTTTCTGGGAGAGAAGAAGGTGGGGATCAACCTCTTGAGGTACTTTGTCCTAACCTCTCTGGGGGGAGAGGCTTGAAATCTTCTAGGGCTACACAGTGTACCCTAAGACCATTCCTAATTCTTTCTTCCTTATCCCTTTTCTCTCTTACTTTTCCCTTGTTCCTTCTCCCCTTCCCTTTCCTATCCCTCTTTTTCTTCCTCCTCTTTCTTCTCCCAAACAATATGTATCTGCGCCACCTAAGGGCAGAGGATATAGCCCAAGAATATAAAGTTATAGCTCCTTGTCATCTCACAGCTTAGAGGTGAAAACAGAGTCTTCTCTACCCCCTCCAAATAATCAGATAAAGATTAGTAGTTGTTATCATAATGATGAGAGCGACTAATATGGGTATGGTGTTTTACAGTTTATAAAGTGTTTTCACATACATTATCTCATTTTAGACTGAGTAAGGAGCAATTAAGCACTCACTGAGGCAGAGAAACAATATCTAGTTATGAAGGCACAACACAGATAGGAGTAAAACCCTTCCCCCTTCAAGCTCCCTCACTCCCTTCTTTTCTTCTCTTTCTGCTCTTTCCATTTCCCCTTTCTTTTTCCTCTTCCCATCCACTTACTCCCTCCTCTCTCCATTTCTCAGCTTAAACCATTCCCAATCAATGCTTCGTTTGGTCTGAGCCAATACAAGAGGATTAATTATTTATATCAATAGAAACAAAAAAAAAGCTTAGTGTGTTACAAGGCACTCAGCTGGCCTCAAATACCACCAAGCTGATTCTCCCACCCCTCCAAGTCAGGGCAGAAAATGGCATGGGGGTGTAGGGGTGGTCACAGAGAACAGAAGCAGAGAGTCACATGGACTCCTGAGGAAGGGAGAACAGAATATGTACGGATGAGAGAAAAGGTATCTTAGGACCCTCTCTGCTGAGGGTTCCAGCCTGCCCACCCAACTAGACTAGGCAGTTTTCTGCCCCTCCCTCAAGTCCCCTCTCCCACCCAAGTATCTAATTTCCAGAGGAAGAAGAGATAGAGAAGAATGGGGAGTGGGTAAACCAGTTCACCCCATAGAATCTTGTAAAAATTTAGAAAAAATCAGTTACTTATGTGACCACACTTCTTTCCTCCCTCGACATCTTCTGCCTTCCTGGAGAGAAAGACAGTCTAGAGTTCTTAACACCTAGGGAAGGAGAGCAGAGTATATATGCCAAGGTATTGGGGTAGGGGGCACATTAAGGGCCCTCCCAACTTTCCCCACATCATCCACTTGGGCTCTGCCTAGGGATGGAGGGTGGGATCTGAAGGAGCCTTAGAGAGAACTGCTCCCAGCCCAAAGGGCCCCAAGCTATAGAGCTGTGGGCTAAGGACAGCAGAATTGATGGCAGAGGGCAGAGATAGAGATGGAAGGAGGGGCAGGGAACCTGACCCAGGGCAGCCTCCTCCATCTGCTAATCCTATTTTCAGAGCAAGGGAGGGGGCAAAGGGGTTCTATGTCTCTGCAAACTCAGCTTAGTGGCTGGGAATCCTGGAGACTTTCTACCACCTTTGGGTAATCCTGGTCATCCTGGGGTGGGGGGGCTTTGCCTGTGTCAATAGTGACAGGTCCTGGAATGCCCAGCTGCCTGACAACAGACCCAGTTTCTGTGGCCGAAAAAGTCTGTAGGCACAGCAATAGCTAACATTTATATGGCTCCTACTATGTGCCAGGCGCTGTGCTAAGCATTTTACTATTATTATCTCATTTGATCCTTACAACAACTCTGGGAGATAGGAGCTATTATCCCCATTTAACAGATAAGGAAACCAAGGTTAAAAGAGATTATTAGGGTCACACAACAAGTGTCTGAGGTAGGATCTGAACTCAGGTCGTCCAGACTTCAAGTTCAGGGCTCTCACCCACCAAACCCTCTACCTCCAATGACAGAGAAGGAAAATCAGAGGTCAGGGTGAGATCCAACTTAACACCCATAATTCTTCTAAATTGAGGTAAAGCTTTCTGCATTTCTTGCAGCCTGAATATTTCTGATTTCAGGAGGTCTTCCAAGTATACCGAACGGATATGGGGCCTGATAAATGGGGAGTGGAAGGGAATGGGGGAGTGGTATTAACCAGTGCCATGTTTAAGTAATGAGGCTGTCTTGACAACTGGAATTTAACAATAACAAGAACAATAGACATTTATTTACTCCTTTAAGTACTTTATCTCATTAAAATCTTACGACAACTCGGGAGCTAAGGCTATTTATTATTAGTCTCATTCTGTAGATGTGAAAACGAAGTCTCTACTGAGGCAGCTAAGTGGAGTAAAGAAGCCCTGAATTCAAATCTAACCATAGACACTTTCTGGCTGTACAACCCTGGGCAGGTCACAGACTCTGATCTAATAATAACAGCTCACATTTCCATAGAGATTTAAGGTTTACAAAGCTTTTGCCTTACAACAATACTACGAAGTAGGGGCACAAGTACAATTGCTCCCATTTTCTGGATGAGGCAATGGAGACTCAGAGAATTATGGTGACATAGCTAATTAAGTGTCACAACGGGTATCTCTTGCCTCCAAGCCACTAGATCATTTAGCCTCTCAAGCTATCTGAGGGAATCAAGGAATTTTTATACTAGAAGGGATCTTAAAAGGCCACCTCTTCTGTACTTTTTTTTTTTTAAAGTCACATCCAATTTTTTTTGCTCCATACTTCATATACTTCAGTGGTAGAGGACCATAAAGAAGAGAGGTAATTTACAAAGCCCCCAGTTAGGACTCTGGGCCAGTGGACCTGACGGTAGCCACCTGCCTTAAGAATTAAAGGGCTCAGGTGTGATAGTGGGTCACCAGAGAAATGCCAGCACTGTCTGGCTAGGCTAACATTAGATGCTTCCCGGGTAATGGGTGAAGACACTATACATGTAGTAGAATATATGTAAGGTATACTTTGTATGCAGCTCTAACATGGATGCTATTTATTATATGCCTGCATGCAACTGTTTCTTCTGTCTGTGACTTGTATGTGTATAAACTTGGAATTATTTCCAAATATAAGATATTATGCAATGTTTATATACTTATCTGTGTACCTGGTACAATTTGTAGGGGATGGTAAATTTTTTATGGGGGTGGAATGTAACAGACAGGTTCAATAGGGAAAGGATTACAATTCTTGGATGCCTGAAGGCAGAGTACAAGTGTTCTTTGGAGGAAAGCAAAGATTCTATTTCCCATGAGTGTGCATCCATGGAACAGCTGTTGGTTGGAAGGATGGAGGCTTCTGGGAAGAGAGGGAAGGAAAAGAACTCTCTGCTGGGTCCATAATCAGACTGGACATGGAGGCATGAACTAAGGCAGTGGGCAGATGGTAATTGCTGCTGGGCCAGTGAGGTAAGCTAACCTGGGAGAGGCAAGGATACATAGAGACTGGGATCAAGAAACTGGCTACATCCTGGGTCCCTGTCAAAGCCATGAGTGTTTGGAGGAGCTTGATTCCAAATGCTTGGTGGTGGTGGTGGTGGGGGAAGCATGGGTGGAAGGGAAGAGGGAAGGGCAGAGGGAAGGGCAGGAGGGAGTTTGGGATTATACTCATTTGGGAATGTGGACTGAGATCATTTTTTGTTGCTTTACTATTCATTTCTAGTGAAAAGTTTTAGCATTTCAACGCTGCTCATTGTCGTTTAGCATGGTGAGTAACTGAATTTCTAACCCTGAGTCTGTTGGACCCACACAGACCTTGGGGTTTATACTTCCTTACCTACTCAGTTTAAAATTAGAAACGTCTAAAGTTAACTCAGGTCTATCTATATCCACGGCCTACATATATACTTACGCAAGTGTACACATTCAGAAATGTAGCTGGGTATGCATAGTCAACAGATCAAAGCTTACGTGCCCTGGAAAACCCACAATGGAATCTTTTATCATTCCATCAGTTCCATGTGCATTCCATGCAAGGCCAGGTTTTCAAGTATGGGTCCTACTGGTTTTTCTAGGCTCTTCCTGCCCCATCTCTGGACACCCCCCCTTTCTTGTGTTCTCAAGAGATAGGGCCAGCCAAATATATATTCCCTTATTAAATTATAGAGCTTTAATATTCCCAGAGTATGCAAAAGTGTGGTTTCCATCATGATATTTCCAACCAACCTTCCCTGAGCCCAATGTGGGCCACATATTTGATAGTATAAAATGTGGGATGGAGCAGAGGTGTACTGGAGCCAGCTCAAACTCAAGAGAGCTGCTTGTTAAATTTTCAATGTAATTATTTCATCTCAGAAATTGGCAAATGCTGATTTGCAATCAGGCCTTTATTTATTGTTTTGTTGATTGGCTAGACGTAAGAACATGATTTAGAAAATGTTAATACTGCAGATCAAACTTTAAAGTGTGTCATGGGTACCTGTTCTTTCCCTGGTTATTAAACATTTACCAGCACATCCCTGAAAGAGGTCACCTTTACCTGCCCAGGAGATGATATGTGCATATATATATATTGGGAGGGAACAGGTGGTTGTTACCCAGGTGACCAGTTGGTAGCTCTTACCTGTACTGGGTGACTGCTGGGTTGGCCTTTGCAGAGCAGTGGAATTTGACATCATTATTTTCTAGCACTGGCTGAGGCTCCACAGACAGATTGACAAGGGGTGGATCTGCAAAGACAAGAATATAGTTAGGTTTGAGACAAAAGGAGTAGTGGCTGCCATATGTAAAGGTCCAGGTTAGAGACTCCTTCTTTGCAGGATGGAGTCATGAGCCTGGGATTCAACTGCAGGAAACATTTGTGTAGCTGCTGCTCCAGCAGCTGCCACATGGTTGAACAGACCCCTTTGTAGTGCATAAGAAGGATGATTCTGGCAGGAAACCAGGACCTTCCTGAGCAGAAAGGGGCTTAGGGGTTTGGCATTTAAACAGAAACTTTGGTCAGGAACTCACAGCTATAAGCATGCCCATCTTCTGGCTTTTAGGAAGAATGGTTTACTTTCAAAAAGGTGTGTGTGTGTGTGTGTGTGTATGCATGTATGTATATGTGTGTACATGTGTGAACTCTAAGCCTCATTTAAAGAAAAAATTCCTGCCTTTGAAATGTCTGTGTAACATCTCCTGGCACAATCAGTTTGGTGCATCTGTTAACTTGCAAGTAACATTTACACCCTTTCATCAGTCTGATCATCTCCACTGAGTCCTCACTGGTGTCACAGGGCTCTTAGCTCCCTCAGCTACCTAGAGAATTTTCCCTTTACATGATAAGCAGTCAAACTTTGGAGTGTTAAGTGGGATGGGAAGATACATACATACATACATATATACATATATATATATATATATATGTATACATATACACACACACAAACACACAGACAGAAAAACTTCAGGCAGACAGTTAAAAGAAAGAGGTTTATTGTTGTCTGACTCCTCATGACCTCATTTAGGGTTTTCTTGGCAAAGATACTGGAATGGTTTGCCATTTTCTACTCTATCTCATTTTACTGATGAGGAAACTGAGGAAAATAGGGTTAATTGACTTGCCCAGAATCACACTGCTAGTAGGTGTCTGAGGCTGGATTTGAACTCAGGTCTTCCTGACTCCAGGCCTGGCACTCTATCCACCGCGCCACCCAGCTGTCAAAGCAAGAGGACCCTACTGGAAAATGTGATGGATTTGGAGTCAGAATACTTGACTCCAAATCCCTCTTGCCATTCTCTAACTGCATGACCTTAGGTAAGTTGCTCGTTCTCTTTTGACCTCCGTTTTGTCATCTATAAAACGAGAGGGTTGAGTTAGCAATCAGTAAAGTTCCTTCCATCTCTAAATTCATGGTTCCGAGAAAAACAGAAGGGAACCGAGTAAAAAAGGATGGAGAAGCAATGAGAGGCAAGTTACAACAAAACAAAGGCAGAGAGATAGGGAGAAATTGAAAGCTGAAGACAGAGAAAAAGATGTTAAGAGCTATGTGGATTTCCAATCAAAGTCAGAGAAACAGGACATGGAGGACTGAAGGACAACAGTATCTACCCTTGAACCAGGAAGAAAACAAGCAGTTATCCATCCTGGGCTAGTCAGTCACTCTCTCTGCACCTGTCTCTGTCATCCTTTAGCTCTCTGTGTCCTATTTCTCTGACTTTGACAATTCACGTTTACATAGCACTTCAGGGTTTACCAAGTGCTTTCTCCACAAAAATACTGTAAATACATAATAAGGGTATCCTTCCCATGTCATAGATGTGGAAACTGAGGCATAGTGACTTGCCTGAGGTTATGGTGATCAGGCAGATGAGGGTAGTGTGGTGCCCACAGCTGAGCTAGATTTCTTTTCTCCCACAGAGGTTCATTTCTGCCAAACAAGCCTGAAAAATGACCCAGATGCCAGCGCATGGGATGTGATTTTGTTCTTAAACAAAAAAAATTATTTTGATACACTTTGGCTTTGAACATCATTGTCATTTTTACTGACTCCTCTCCCCCTCAACCACATTTGTAAAAAAAGTATGATGAAATATAATAAATTGGCTTATTAGCTATGTCAGAAAATGTATGCTTAATGAAGCGTGATCTCCAGGACCTCGGGACTATTGCTGTGAAACCTTGCTTTGCCTCACAATTAACTAGGCAAAGAGTCAAAGAGCTGGACTTAGATCTCATTTTGTCCAATTTGCTTGTTTCATAGATGAGGAAACTGAGGCTTAAAGAGTTTGAAGTGACTTGCCTGAAGTTACATGGTCAGTTGGTGGTAGATGAAGGATTAAAACTGGGTCCTTATTTCCAGCCTGGCTTCCTTTATGCTACACCAAGAAGCATTTTACAGATGAGGAAACTGAGCCAACCTCCCCTTGGAAAATCCTATTCTGTTCACATCCAGTGTCCCATGGGAGAAGCAGGGCCCTTATCATTTTGATGAAGCTATGGGGGGCAGTGAGTGACCTGGCGGGCAGTCCTCACATCATTGCTCAGTTTTGGCTGAGCCTTGTCTATTTATTTATTTATTTTTGTTATTTTTTTTTTCTTTGCTAGGCAATGGGGTTAAGTGACTTGCCCAGGGTCACACAGCTAGCAAGTATCAAGTGTCTGAGGCTGGATTTGAACTCAGGTCCTCCTGACTCCAGGGCCGGTGCTCTATCCACTGTGTCACCTAGCTGCCCCTGGCCTTGACCATTTATCCAGCAGTAAGGCCATCCCCTAGTGGTGTCCAAAGACACCCACTTTGGGATTGGGGAAAAAGACAACTCTCAGAGCCGTGAGCTTAGGAGCTGTGTGAGGAAATTATTTATACTGAGACTGCATGGTGTAGGTGATTGTGGGCAGCTGGGAAAGACACTGGGATGTGGGAGAGGGAGGGAGGAGACCTAGCTCCCTGACTAGTAAGGAGTGAGTCACCCTGGAGGAAATCTCTTCCCTTCCTCTCTTCCTATTTTCCCTACCTCCCCCCGACTCTGGCTGGGGACTATTTACGCTGGAAGGTGTCTGCCACCAGAGATGCCAACCCACCTGTCTTTTCATGGAGAATTATGAGGCAAATTATAGGTATTTGCAATTTACTCTAATCTCATTTTAAAATGTGTAATTCAAATGACAATAAAGACAAGTATAGTGACGAATACCAATGAGAGCAGTGCACATAACCAGCCTAGATTGGCACAGACTCTCCCAGGCCCCTTGCTGCCTTCTGACTCTGCCCTGTCATTACCCAACAGCAGCTAATCACCTTCCTTTGTTCAGTATGAATCATGAGTCTCCTCATTGGGGTATGGCTCACCCATAAGTGATTTGGGGCTTTGATGTAGAATCCTCCCTACATATACTGAGACCCAAAGACTGGGGGTTTTACTCTTGATGTCCCCACCTTAACCCTACCATTGCCCCAATTGGGGTGAGGTTGTGATGGCTTAATAACTCTTGCTTTAATAATTATTATAATAAACCAAAATGTATGTTGCATTAGTGAACCAATAATAACTTGTTACAGTAATTGCAAGAATGAGATTGCCCGATTTAATCCTATTGAAAGCAAGCACTGGGTAAATGTGTTCCTTAATCTGAATTCAAGAATCTTCTGGGAAGCTCTCCCTGCTCCCCTCTCTCGCACTCAGATTGTTATGATCCTTCCTCCTTTAGACTTCATATAGCATTCTGTTTGTGTTTTCCTTTTGTAATTACTAGTAATAATTTTGTACTGTAGTTATTTGTGTATAAATCACATCTCTCCACTGCTCTGTAAGCTCCCTGAGGGCACGGACCAGGTTTTATAGCTTTATTTACTCTTCAAATTGTACCTCTCTAGTGCCTGGCATAGTGTTCTACTTGCAGGAGGAAATTAATGAATATTTGTTGCTGTTGAAATCTGACGTATCCAAGCAAGAACTATGTAAGTGCATTTATTAATCTCTACAAAAGGCATAAATAGAAAGAAGATGAAGTCAGGACAGAAAAGATAGCACTAGACTCAGTATCATTTAACTTCATCTCATCTAAGCTAAGATACTCAAAACATCTTTGGAAAAGTGTAGTCATCACTAATGTGAAAATATGTTTAATAGGAATGTATATGTATAGCCTATATCAGATTGAGTGCCATCTTGGGGAGGGAAGTGGGGAGGAAGGGGGAGAAAAATGTAAAACTCAAAAGCTTATGGAAGTGATGGTTGATAATTCAAAATAAATTAATAAAAAAAGTGTAGTCACTTGTTTCAGAACCACCATCTTGGGTTAGGCCAATGGCCTCTAGCCTCGAGGCTGCCTGAGCCCTCTTGTGTCAGGGCTGAGACATTGAAAAACTAAGGGTCGATTGAGACCCTGGAGGTGCATTGGTCATTAGAAACTAGACATTCCAGGTCTCAATCATAGACAAGGCATTGTTTAGACAAGTGATAGAACTCTTGGAGTCCGGATCTGGAAGCATGTGGTTGTTATGGTGCTTACTCATAGACTCTTTTGGCCACCAGGCTCTCACTTCCCTTCCTGTATTTCATGTTCCAGTTAAACTGGTCTTCTCTCTGTTCCTCCCATCTCCATGCCTTTGCAGTGGCTGTGTTGGGGAAAAAGACAACTGGAATGTGTTCCCTTCTCACCTCTGTGTAATAGAACCTTCACTTCCTTCAAGACTCAACTGAATCACTGTCTTTCCCAAGAAGTCTTTCAGGATCCCCCCAATAACCGGTGTCCTTTATCCCTAACTATATGGTCTTTGTTTCTTCTCACAGAATGTAAAGATCATTTCATTTTTTGTATTTATATCTCCAGCTCCTAGCACCTTGCTTGGCACGTAGGGGTCATTTATTGAATGCTTATTGATTGACTGATTGATTCATTCATTTGATTAGTCCCACAATCTACTCCATCTCATCATTCTCTCCCTCTCCATAGTCACCCTGATCAGCATTAACACACTGCCTCTTTCAGCCTCCCTGTTGCCTGAATTCGCCCTAATTCTGGTAGGTCTGCCTGAGCTGTGACTCCCTCAGCACTGAGTTATCTTGGTAAGATTTGCACAGTCACACCCAGGGCTCTGAAGCACCCCGACCCCTCTACTTTTTTCCTTCCCAAGGTGCAGGATATGAATTTTCAGGTGCCTGCTGGGCTCCGGTGGTATAAATAGTTTATGGAATAGCCAACTATTAAACATGATTTTAATCCCACTTGTGATGTCGGCTGCATAACTCGCAGGAGGGCAGCTTTGATGTAGTTGGTGCAACCAGAATCACATCGAGCAGATGTTGCAACTGTGAGTCTGTTAGTGTTTTCATCAGCAAAGGCCGCATTTGAAGAGTGGGTGGTGTTTTCTGGTGGGGGAAGAGGGTTGTATTTTGGAGAGAGTAGGAGGAGGGTTGACTTTCTGACTCAGCAATTTTTCTGAACATCCTTTTGAAACTTGGCAGCTGGATACAGTGTTCAGATGTGGTAAGGTGTCAGGGGGTGTTGTGCATTCTCTCCCATTAGTCAATCTTGGGGCTTTGTCTCCCGTTGGGGTAACATAAAAACCAAGGGAAACAAACAAATAAACAAACATGTGGTTTTCCTGAGTTCAGATGTTTCTCCTTGGTTAACTAGGAACAAACATGAAGATTTGCAAAGGCAGCGATGATCTAGTCCCTGGTCTCCTTGTTAACTGTTAGATGAGGGATTTAGGAAGGGAAACAGTGAGGGGGAAGTGAATATTTGAGAAGAAAAGATGTGGGGAGAGGAGACACAATACTTGTCTTTAAGTATTTGAAAGACCATCATATGGAAGAGGAATTAGACTAACTTGGGGTGGCTGCGGGGTGCAGAACCAGGTGCAATGAGGGGCAATTGGAGAGAGACGAATGTAGCCTTGATGTGAGGAAAACCTTCTTAACAATTAGAGCTATCCTGAAGTGGAATGGGTAGCCTTGAGAGGTGGTGGGCTCCCTGGCTTGCAGCTCCTTGAACAGAGGCTGGATTTGCTGGGCTTACTGGGTTTATCATTGCAGGGACTTCTTTCATGTCCTATTCGGACTAGATGGTAGCCGAGTTTCCTTCCAACTCTCAAATTCTGCGATTTTGTAATTCTGAATGAGTGTATATGTGTGGATGAGCACAACAAGATCAGGACTTGAGAAAGGCCTCATTATCCAGGGTCCCTTAGGCCTCCTTCCTCCTGGACAGATTAAAATCTCTAAACTGTGATTGATGCACCTGGTTTGGGATGGCTGCTACTCTTGTCATTAGTCAGTTAGTAAGTGACCACATGGGTACAAAGAAAGGCAGACATGAATTCCAGTGGCTTTGTGTGTATGGGTCAGCGTTAGACATCTCAACAAATTCTGGAAGATACCAGGCCAGTGGGTAGTTTTGATGGGCTAAGGCCTCTGCTGCTCTCTTTCTCGCCCAGGGAAAAATACAAAAGGTACCCATCACTGGGCTAATACCTCACTGACCTGGGACACCTGACTGACCCCTAACAGTGTCATACACTAAAGGAGTCCCCCTTCTCCCTCCCTTCACAAACATGGTACCCCAATAATGGGATGTTTTGGGGATAGGCAGTATCTTTATCTACCCTAGAATCTAGGGAGCAGGTCACTGCTTTAGGTTAAATCCTATGATTCTGTGATTCTCAAATGTCATAAGGTTTCATGAACAAGCTGAAGGCTTATCTGTGTGGCTTACAGTCCTGGGAAGTGTTTGTCCTCTGTGCTCCAAAGAAGGTGGAAGTGCCTATGGTACAGAGCTGGGACGTCAGATCCCCTGGGTTCTAATCCCCACTTTGACCTCCATTCCTCAGTCCCCTTGACTCATTTTTTACTTTAGTCTTAATGGTGGTGGGAGTAGGGCAGGGCGATGATCCTTATTTGGAAGTCAGTGGGCGTATCAAAGCCTGGAAGTATCATCCCCCTAACCACTGCCTTCTCCAGTCCTATGAAACATCTGTTTTCTGGGCCACCCTGTTAAACTGATCGTCTCATTAGAGAGCATTTAGACAAACAGTCTTTTAATAGTCGGATGGGCTATTAAGATGATGATGATCTTGTTTATGGGGGAGATTCTCCTCATATGATGGATAATGGGTTAGAGCTGAAGCCCTGCTGATTTTCTGTGCCTCTCCCTCCCAGAGCCACAGCTGCCAGCTACTAGAGGCCTGTCCATGTAGCGTCTGGGAAAGAGAATTGGAATTGGAAGGCCTGGGTTCAAACCCCAGCTTTGCTACTTCCTTGGGGAATATGACCTTGTGGAAATCACCTCACTTCTCTGGCCCTTCCTCTATAAAATAAGAGGTTTGGACCAGATAACCCTTTGGGTTTTTTTCTGGCCTTAAATCTTGGAATTCTGTTTCTTAAATCCAACCATATTCCCACACCAGATTAGGGCTGGTGTATATGAAGGAAGAATTGCTCTGGGGACACTCTTTGTGGCTAGGAAATGAGGTGCTGTCATCTCCCACTCACTGTTTTGACAAGGTTTAATTTGAGGCTCAATGGGGATCATTTGTTTAGGGTGGAGGAATCTCTGCCCTTTGGCATTTAAGACATTTTACTATGTGGCCCCCTTCCTACCTTTCCAGTTGTCTTACATTTTTTTCCCCTTCACAAATGCTAAGTTTCAGTCAAACTGGCCCACTTGCTGCTCCTTGCACAGGACACTCCACCCTGTTCCTTGGTACTGCCTGTCCCCCATGCCTAAATGCTTTCCCTCTTCACCTCTACCTCTTAGACTTTCTGGCTTCCTTCAAGATTCAGCACAAACTCCACCTTCTACAGGAGGCTTTTCCTAGTCTCCTCAGCAATTACAGCCTTCCCATCTAAGGTTACTTTCCATTTACTCTGTATGTATCTTGTACGTACCTATTAATATACATCTTGTTTCTTTCATTAGAATGTAAGCTTCTGGAGGGCAGGGACTATTTTTTCCTTTACTTTTTTTTTGTATCCCAAATGTACAGTATCTGGCACACAGTAAATACTCAATATAGGTTGATTGATTAATCAATGGTTCCAATGACATCATGAGGGCAATGTCTTAATTTGCACATAAATTGAATTTGAGTGAGGAAGAACTGCGCAAAATGGTCAGCCTCACTCTCTCCTCCAGAGTCACTGAAGTCCAGTAGCAAAACATAACTCAAGATGACTGGCCATGGCCTGGGGTGCAGTGGGTGACCTTGTAATTTTTTTAAAGCTCATTTTTCCTTTCAGATATAGGATATTCAATCAATCAATATGTGTCAAAAGCTAAGTGGAATCATAGTTATCCTTGCTTGGAGAAACAGCTGAGCTTTGAAGATCCTTTGATGGATGGTAATTCCTATGATGGTATGGATGGAAATCTAGATCTCAGGTTAGGAAGGAGCCTAGAAAGAGAGGATATGAGGCCTGGGTGCCTCCCAGACAGAGCGGGAAGAAAAGAAATTCCTAAGTAGGTCAAGGTGATAAACCTATTATGAAGATGGAGCTCTCCTTCTCAGCAGTTAAGCTACACCATAAGGTCCAAGCTATGGTATAATAGAATCCAAGTGATATCTACTATAATCTAGAACTCAAGCTGTATCTTCTATCTGTTACTGATCAAATTGTGTTTTTCTAGACTAAGGAATTAAAATTCTAGACTTTAACAACCTGAGCTGATCTCTGTAATGTCTGGAACCTACCTTGTGTCCCTATAGGTCAATTTATGTCAGCATAGAACCTAGAATGGTTCTATGAATTAGAATTGCCTAAATTCTAATTCTAGAATTACTTAGAATTATGATATCCTAACTGATATTGCTGCATAGATTATGAAACTAATTTCATGAAAAACATGAAAGAGTAGAAACATCTGTATTACAAAGAGCAGAAGACCTCAATTTGAACTCTGATTTTGTTCTTTCTTATGTGATCTTAAATAAGTCATCTCTTAATTGCAGTCGTGTAAATATAGCTAAACCAGTTATTGATCCACAAACTAGTTTTACCAGTCAATTTTCTGTGTACAGGAGGGGCACGGATAGCAAATGTCAATACTGGTTATGGGTAAATTGGCAACAAACTCCTTGTGTGACAGTGAACTAGACTGTCTGGCCCTCCACCTTTGACCTGCGAGCCTTGGTGGGGCCTAGGCACAAAGTAGCACTCACGCTGGATGTCGATAGTGACTGAGGTCTCCTTCCCCCCAGGGATGGCTTTGTTGGTGGCTCGGCACACAATGCGCTGTCCATTTTCCACATCAGCGGGTGAGACGAAAAGGGTGCTCACAATGCTCTCCCGCTTCCCATCCCGAAGCAGGGTCTAGATGAGGAAAGGAAAAGGAAAGGAAGATAGGACACTGGTTATTCTCCTCTGGAAGCCACGAGCGCTAAGACGTGAAAGAGGCTGATACTGGGTGGTTCCATTTCAGCAGAGGTGAGGATTCAGCTTTCAGTGTAGGCCGGGAGGGCAGTGGGGTGCGAAGGGAAGACATGAGATTTGGAGTCAGAGGTTCTGACTTTAAATTTCAGCTATACAACTTACTAGCTCTACGACCTTGGACAATTCAGTTCAATTCAACAAGCATTTAAGAGTCTACTGTGTGCTAGGTATTGAAGACAGAAGGCCAAAAATTAAGCACTTAATATCCCTGAGGAGCTTACATTCTACTGGGAGGGCAAGTCAATCCTTCCTTCTGAAGCTCAGTTTCTTCACCTGTAAAATGAAGGAGTTGGACAAAGCAGCCTTGCAGCTCCCTCCTAGCTCTAAATCTGTGATGATCCTAGGAGCCTAGGAGCCCTCTCCTCCTTGTCTGACTGAGTCTGACCCATACAAGGATAAAGACAAGACTGCTAAGTCAAGCTCTTCATTTGTTGTGAAAACTGTCTTGGGTCTAGGATTCCACAGTGCAACAATAAATCAGGTTGACCCAAAGGAAACCAGTCGGAAGGCTTCCTGAAGAATGTTATACTCCTTCTGTTTGTTTTTCTTGGGCCTATGTGTTGGTCTGGGTTTTTTACCTCTCTGTGGGTCATGGTCCAATTTGGGCATCTGGTAAAGTCTTTTAGATTGAAATAAAGATGTATTTTTTCCCATTCAAGTTTACAGATCTCCTGAAATCTACTCATGCATTCCTTGGGGGTATATAGCCTCCAGGTTAAGAACCCTTGTGCCGAGGGAACCACCAAGTATGTTGTAGGCAGATACTTTGTCTTTTAGGCCTGTGTTCTAGATCACTCTGTGACGCCTAACCTGGGCAATCTTTTCCTGCATAGAACCTAGGAGAAGTGAAGAAGTGTGTGATTCAGATATAAGACTGAACTGATACTCTCATTGGTGATTGCATTCTGCTGATACTGAAGGATGTATGTGTGAAAGGGGATTGGATGGGGAAGGGTAGCACTGACCCTCTACCCAGTCTTCCTCCCACCTAGTCCCAATGCACAGCTGAGAAGCCAAAGCTCTACATTTTCTCTGGAACATGTTATGAACTGACCCATTCATATTCTCCTGCCCATCTCACTGAAACAAGAGCTCTAACTAGTAATTTTGTCACCCAGGGCAAGCAATAATACAAATTCAGTTGAGGCTCTATGGGAAGAGAGAGAGCCCAGACATTGCCTCATGATGGGGAGAAACGGATGCAGGGATTCCTCAGAGTCCCTACTGGGAAGGCAGTGGCTGGATGGGGCACGCCAGGAAGGAGCTCACCTGCAGTTTAGTAGCTGGGGGCAGAAGCCCACCATTGGGTAATTTCTTATTTGAATTAATTATTCTTGTTAGCTTGGTGCTAAGGTTAGTTGCTCCCTTCTGCTGCAGGAGCACACATGCTATCATTGCCTCTAAATTTTGGGGCCCTAGGATAAATTCCCTATGACACCATCTTAGTTATTGATATGATAGAAACAGACTCAGAACACACTCTCTTGCTGGTGACTTTTCCTTTCATGTTCCCTTGATTATTCCTCTCAAGTCAGTCTTTCAACCTTTATACCAACACCAACCCTAAAACTACTTCCTTCCTCTTAAATTTGTTGTTCAGTCATTTTCGGTCATGTCCAATCCTTTGTGACCCCATTTGGGGTTTTATTGGCAAAGATTCTGGAGTGGTTTGCCATTTCCTTCTCCTGCTCATTTTACAGATGAGGAAACTGAGACAAACAGGGTTAAGTGACTTGCCCAGGATCACACAGCTACTTAGTGTCTGAGGCCAGATTTGAACTCAGGAAGATGAATCTTTCTGATTTCAGGCCCAGCACTCTAACCACTGAGCAACCAGCTACCTCAATACCCCAGTGGAATTTTAGGTACCTGCTTCCCTTGAAATCTTGGGGGGAGCAGCCCATCATTTCCTCTGTTTTCCATCATTGTCCCATAGCTGAGCCCAATAATAGAAAGCATAGAAGTGGGTTACAGTTTGTGAAAAATGTTGGCAAGACCAGTGAGTTGTCCCTTTTAATAGCTCACCTCATCATCCCACTTTCTGTAAGGTTCTTATTTCTTCAAAGTGCTTTCACTTCCAATATTTTTGGGAACCTCCAGACCCCTTTGTGAGGTAGGCAAGGCTGCTCTTATCCCCCCATTTGAAAGATGAAGAAGCAGTTAAGTATGCTCCTTATTACCAGTGTGATACGGGGCAAGCCACTTAAACCTCTGGGCCTAGTTTCTTAATATGTAAAATGCTGAGGTTGGACTAGATGACCCATTAAGATCCCTTCCAGTTCTAAAAACCCTGTGATTTAATCCAGCAAATCCATTAAATTCTAATTATGTGGGAGAAATTGCCCTATCCCTTTCTGTTCTGTACTTTGTGGAGATGGAGAACGGATGAGCATGAAGACCTTAGTGTGGCATCACTTAGCCTACTTCCTTTACCAAAGCTTAAAGATTCTTTTCCTCAAATGGCGATGTTATGAGCCCCTATAAAACAGGCCAGAACAGCCCTCCTGCCATTAGGTCTTCAGGCAGAATTTACAAGAGCTAGGCCAATGTTATTCCCTTGACTTCATCCAGGGGAAGCACCCTAGGTGGAGACCTCTGTCCCCTAGGCCTCTAGGGAGGGGAGGTACCCCATCATTCCATGGGGCTGGCCTGATTGGCTTCCTTGTGGAGGAGGATGCAGAATTGTTGTCTCAGAAGAGCTGAGATGCTGGGGCTGGAGAGGGGAGAGCATCACTCAGGCCTAAGCTGGAGCCCAGATCACATTAACACGTTGGCTTGGGCCTCCTCAGCAGACAACACACAGGCTATAAATAGCCGAGCGATAATAAGAACCATTTCCTGGTTGGAAATAAAACTCTGTGTGTGTGTGTGTGTGTGTGTGTGTGTGTGTGTGTGTGTGTGTGTGTGTGTACAAAGGTTGTTTTCTCCCCCCCCATTTCTTTTACTTTGCCTTTTCGTTTTGCTAAGAAGAGACATTTGCATAAGTTTGACTCTGCCAGGAGTTCCTTCCATTGATCTCTCCTGGATTCTGCAGAGAAGAGAAGGGGCAGGACTGGGGGCTGGTAGGAGTGGAACAATGAGGCCCCAAGCCACTAATTAGGCCCCTGGCTGCTTCTCCCACCCATTGGTGGTTCTCTGCCTTGGAATGATGATTAATGGCATATTTACTGTGTCCGGGCGTTTGCTTTTCTGGGAAATAAAAATTCTGGTTCAAGTCTGTTTGTTGCATCTAATTAGAGAAAAAGGGAGATGTGTTCATTAAACAAGGACAAAGGAGAGAAGAACGAATGCAACCCAGGAAGAAGGCTAATCTGCCAATGGATGCCCCACACTCACCAAACATACACATTCCCACATACCTGGCCCTCCCTAGGGAACTCATCTTTTTTTTTTTTTTTTGATTTCCTGAAGTAAGGAGGATGGCCAAGGGCATCAAAAGTGTTACCCCAGAGTGGATGCAGCCCAGTTGGAAATTTGGCAGGCTAGGATAACTGCCTGATTGCACAGTTAAGCCTCTGGTGTTCAGGGACTTTGTGGGAAGCAAAACAGAGACCAGGGCATTTGAGGAGAGGGGCTGAGGTGGGGAGGGTTCTGGGGTGGGGCCGATGAAAGGCTGAAGCTAGAGGCAAGCTATGCATGGGATTATTCTCTCTCCACTCTTATTTCTTCTCCATTGTCTTTGTTCCTCTTCTGGCTCTTTTCTTTCTTTCGATAAAAAAAATGGAACCCATGAAAATGAGTTTCAGGAGCCTGTAGGGTATGTCCCTTTGAAATAAAGATCACTTGGGGAGTACTGGAGCAATACAGAGGAAATTAAGTTGATTTTCAGGCTGGGAGATTATCACACATAATATTATTTTGGATTCATATGTAATTTCATGGGTAGGTGTATTTGTACCACCTAGATACTAAAGTTCAAGAGGAAGGTCTCCATCTCTTTGGTAGATGCTCCATGGAGATTAGATAAGAATCACACTGGAGAAGAAGGCAGGGAGTGGCTCTGATATCCATTGGAGGAAGGAGCTTCCATCTTAGAAATTATAGGGCTGCCAAAGTACATCATTTAATATTTTAGAGGGAAAAATCATTGATAGTACAGAACTCTTCCTTCATCATACTGAGGCATAGAATGTCAGGGCTCCAGGGAATGCAGTTTGGTGACTGCTGGTCTTCCTTCTTTCTTTCTCCACTTGTCCAGTTCTCTCCCCTCTTCTGTTTACTCTTTTCTTTTGTCCTTTTCTTCCCTTTTTTCTAGTTTCCTCTTCACCCTCCTCTCTTCTCCCTTCTTTCATTTCCTGGGAGTGAGTCTGATTTTTTAGGCACCCTAGGGACATGGAGCTGCCACCCTCCAGCTTCAGAAAGGTTTATTAGCACTTAAATCATCTTTAGGTTAGGAAGGGCATTAATTATTAGGCCCTAGTTAGGGGATTTCTTTTTACTCTGCTACTATTGCACTGTCAGAAGGGCCATACTGCTAGAAGGCTGCTATAGCTCCCACTCTGACATGTGTGTTGGTGGGAGGGTGGAAAGGTTGGTTTGACTTTGACCAGGCCTCTTGGCTTCCCTTCCCTCTGACAGGCCTGGGCAACGTCCTAAACACCACAGGCTTAACTAGTATGGGGCACCTACAACTTTGCCCTAGGCTCCTAACATCTGGGGACAGGACTCACTTTCTGACTGTGATTGTCTTTTGGTCCACTGTCTGTGCTCCCTCACCTGGACCTAGGCCCTGTCTCCACCACTGCTTCTGTCCTCCCAACATACTCAGAGCAAAGGTCCTCTCTGTGGCACTTTGGGCCTTGCCTTCCTAGTACCCCATCTCTGCCTCCTCCTAGGGGTTAGGGAGTTAGGAGTCATCCGCTCTGCTGCAGGGGTATAGC